GTGCTCCCAATTAAACTATAAGTTTACATTACTACTCCCACTATCTCTAATCAGCTTTTCTTATGCTTACATGTAAGTAATTATGCTTAGTTGACATCTTAGTTGTTGTTTTTTGTTTTAATAAGAGGAAAAAATTATATAAATACTCATAGAAATTCAAAATTTTACAATAATTCTCCCAAAATCAAATAAAGACTCCAATTCTCCTAAAAGTATATTCTCGTTGCACGTTACTATATTTGACTGAAATTATTTTTAAAGTATTTTATATGAAAAATGGTGTGAAATTAAAAATAAAAATTACATATTAAAAACTAATATAGTAATATGTAAAAATAATTTTTTTAGTAATATTAAAGATTAATTAATTGAGCTTAATTGGCATCTTAAGTAGTTTTTTATATTTTAATAAAAAATATCCTTCTGTCCAAAAATTATCTTCTCATTCACTATCAAGAGTATTAACAAGATCAAATTTTATTTACTTTGCTTATCTATTTTAATTATGTATTTGATAAAATAATATAATTATATCATTACTAGTTTTATAGATCTTATAATGTAGTTTTTAGATATATAATTTTATTTTTTGATTTCACACCACTTTTATTAAACATCATAACACGTAAAAGGAAGATATTTTTTAGAGTACTGGAATCTTTATTTGGTTTTGAGAAATTATTGTAAAATTTTGAATTTCAAAGAGTATTTATACAATATTTTTCTCCTATTAAAACAAAAAGAACAACTAAGATGTCAACTAAGCATAATTACTTACATGTAAGCATGAGAAAAGCTGATTAGGAATAGTGGGAGTAGCAATGTAAACTTATAGTTTAATTGGGAGCACCAGAGTCTTTTATTAAATTTGGGAATATTATTGTAAAATTTCAAATTTCTGGGAGTATTTATATCAATTTTTCCAATCGGAAAACTGCCGGTAGAGAGACGCCGCCGCCGCCAGAGTCCAGACCCCGCCGGGAGCCGACCCTCCAGCCTCCAGGTATTCCGTATTCATAGTTTTCCAATTTTGTAATTTTTTTCTTTCATTTTTTCATTCTTAAGATTTAAAATCTCGGGTTAATTATTGAACTTTAATTAGAAATCTTTGCTAATTGCTATGAAATAGGATGAATTAATGGTTCTATATGTTCTTTATTTGATTTGGATGAATTGAATTCATGATATACTTATAATTTTATTTATAAAAAACTGAAAACTAAAAAAAAAAATTAAAAACTGAAAAATTGATATGAACTTATGATATATAAAAAAATTAAAACTGAAAAACAAAAAATATAAAAATTGACGAATTGATATGAATTTATGATATATTAATTTACTTTTTTCCTCTAATAATATTGTGTTAATTATTATTTAAATATAATTAGTTTACATATATTAATTTGTTAGACCATAAGGGATAAGACTTTTAAGGTCTTTTTTTCTGTTTCGGCCCAGGCCCATGAATTCTCGGGACCGGCCCTGATCCAGCATCTGTTTGCGGAATATGATAATTGAATGGAAAGCATTGTATCACAACTCTCGCATGTTCCTACTTCCAATTTTTTACTATTTCATAATGATGTCAAGACCAAAGTGAATCTTACAGAGAACATCATTTCTTCGATTGCAGAAAGGCAGGCCAACTTCAATGAAGACTCTGGACTGCAGTTCTTGAAGATCTTAGTAAAAGCCTGCAAATGCCAGTACAAATCAAAACTTTATTTATTTACTTATTTGGGGGTGCAACATTCTGTAATACTAATACCATAGAAAAGGCATACACTTTAGGATATCTAACATCAATGTCTAAAACATTAATGGTTTACTCCTCCATCTGCTACTTGATTTTCACTCTTTGGAAACATGTTAAATGTTCATACAGAAGTCATTAGTTTAATCTTCAAACCTGAAGAATGCGAGACTTCCAAACACCAGACAATCCTGTAACAAGTTCGGGAGTGAATGACACCAATGTAAGCAATTGCTTTTCATGAGTTACTTTACCAGACTCTTTGCGGTGGAAATTCTGCAAAACAAGAGCTAGTAGTTATTAAATGTGCAATATGTATACTACTTAAACATCCATGATCCATATTCATCTTATCAAGAAAGTTCACAAAGAACATTAAGAATACCAACGAAAAGATGAGAAACAAAGGACTGAGGAACATGTAAAGCTTTCAGTTATATAATAGAACTAAATCATTGAAGGGAAAAATATGTGCCTTTATCCTTTTTCATAAAATTGATAGAAGTCCTTTTGTCTTCTGTTGTTTAAAATACATAATATGTAGGTTCAGGATATAAGTTATGCATGAATAATATTCTACAAGGATGATGCTAATCCGATACATGGTTCTATTTGTGAGGCCAGAAAATGAGATGTGAATTTCTCCAGTTCTTTGATGTGAATAAATTACAGATAAACAATATGCATATCCATGATGAGTTAGGACTTGGCACATGAATGAACTTTATCATGAAATCCAAAGTATAATTGAACCTTCGCAAAAAGTGAGCTTTCAATGAACTCCAGAAATTTCTCCATCAGCGCAAGGGGAGGGTGATTCCAACTACTTAACTTCAAAAATATTTCTGTAATAACAATATTCAACCTGAAATAACGATCATTTCCCTGCATTGAAAGAGTAAACAAAATCAGAGGAGGCAACGTCAGTATGTTGCCATATAAGTGAACACGAAGAGAGGGGGAAGTAACTTGAATGCTTAAAAATATCATCACTTCAGATGTGATTGTATTTCTAACTTATATTCCTTTAAAGATAAGTCTGTTTGAAAGAGAAGCAGAGACATTCCATTATATTGATAGATCACAGAGAATTATCAAGTGCATTACATCATTGCCTCATAAAACCATTGTCCTAACCTGATGGGCTAATATTATTAATGAGAACACAGTAGCAACTTCTTGCCTTTCAAGTCCAATAAATTACTCAAAAATATACTCCATACTTGCCAGGTTCTCTAAGAAATTAGTTTTCAGCCTCTTAACACTTTTTCTTTTTTGCCCTTCATTGGTGCCTTACTGCTAGCACTGAAACAGCTAGTCTCAGATAAGAATTCATACCTTCTCTAAGAGGCCATGACCTGTACTCAAAGGAAACTCGTCCCAAAGCTTTTTAAGAACCGCCGGAGAAATACTTTGACCACATATATTATCTTGTGTGTGGCAGTTAGGAGGTTCTCTTCTTAAGCCTTGTTGACTCTTCTTATCAGAGACTTCAATAAAAAATCTGACCAGAAGGTCTATGTTTTGAAGTATAAGGAGCAGACAATCATAGGATCGGGTGTCTATTTGAGGCATAGTATGAACCAAAGGAATGAAGTCCTGGAAACAACTAACAAGAGCAGGTAACAGTTTCATTGATTTCTCAATGACACCAGAACTAGAAAGCGCTGCAGAAAGAAAAAATGTGAATGGCTAAGTACTTAGACAACTCTCGCCCACAATGACCACTTATAATATTATTTATTTGATAGTAACAGGTAAAGATGGGCATAGTAGTACAATGATGGTTAAATTTACTTATGGACGCATATAGTAGCAATGTTCTTATAGCACTTACCAGAGGAGTGATTCGAAATGGAAGGAACATAAGCATGCAGCATCACTTGGACATGAGGATCCTGCAAAAGTTTAACTTGACCATTCAAAAAAACAAAAGTAGATAGAGGATGTTCAGAAATGATTTTACAGGGGTAATACTCTCAAAGGGAAGAAGTTTTATCCATGATCAGTTTACTAGGTGTAATTGAAAAGTATACAAAATTTATCCTTCAAAATTTGAATATTCAATACTAGAGGAGTAGCTTAAACCCTGCTTCTTCTTAATTCATTTATTTTAAGACTCCACCCCCAAATTGTCCATGTAACACCAACATCTTTCCTAGGAGTCTAACTCCCAAACACCACCATAATTATCAGTTAAGCAGTCTTCATCCTTCTGCATTGCTAGAAGAATTATGATTTCTCAAATACACCTCATAACTAACCCTAGCCAAAAAAGCTGAGCCTATGAAGAGAAAATATGAGTGGCAGTAATAAGCATAAAAAAAATTAATTCTCACTCTGATCCAAGTTGTTGTACCCAATTATACCGGACACGAAAACAGCTTAAGTGAAAACTGTGTGATTAGGAACCTTCTCCATTCTCTTACAGCTGTATATGTTAGTTTTTGGTGCCGAAATTTGACTAAATATATACAAAAACATACAACTAATTAAGATATAAGATTATACTGTAATAATTGTAATGAAAAATACTTGTATATAATATTTTTGTATATATTTAACTAATACTCCCTTCGTCCCATGTTCATTTTTGACGAGGAGAATTTTTGTGAGCCACATGTTCATTTCTTTAAAAGGAAATAAAGTGGGATGTTTTCTTTGGGAAGTAGGAAGATTTTTGTGGGTTAAGAAATGTCAATGGTCAAACATTTAGCACGAGAAGCAAAACAAAAAGTTAATAAAGAGTGGAGGGAGTAGGGGAGAAAGAAACACAGTGAACCACATACTACTTTCTACAAATGAAAATTAACACACTAAATTGGGATGTACAAAAAAGAAAATATAGATGAAAGCCCCAACCTATCATTTTACTATATTCAGTATAACTAAATTCACCCCTTCTTTTTAAAATTCTTATAAACTCACCCTGATTGTGGACATTGAGTACCTCTAGTATTTTGGCACCATGTTTCACACTAAATTCATCCTAGTGAGCATTAAAAACTATGTTTACTAAATTTTCAAATTTGTTAGCACAAGTTTTTTATTTCAAATAAATTGCAACAAAAATTTATTGACTTGTATAGTTGGACAATGAAATTAATTGGATACCTCCTTTCTATCCCAAACTAAGATTTCACCTTACTATTCATATTGTTAAATTAAACACATCTTCTTTCCTTGCACAAAGTGATTGATCATTGAGAAAATAAAAAAATAGTCAAACCACTTCTTATTCTGTAGAACTTTTAATGTAATTTCTAAATATATAAATTTCATTTTATAATTCTAACAAATTTTCAAATAAATTGAATTGAGAATGAATTCAATCAAACTTCATAAATGGAATCAAGAACCTTATTTTGGGATGTAGGGAGTACTCATGCTTAAAGCTAAGTATACAAAAGAACACTATACAAAAGGGAACAAATAAACAGGGTGTGTTTAGAGACTGGAGCGAGTTTAGAAGAATAACATAGAACTACTACAACAACAACAAACCGGGTAAAATCCGACAAAAACTAGGGTCTGGGAGGGTTTGTGTACGCAAATCTTACCCCTACCACGGACGAAACACAGACACATAGACCAAGTACGCATCGTAGCATGAACAAAGTAAGAGCATAGACACAAGAAGCACTTGTACCAACACAAGCAACTAGACCCAAAGCACATATGCACCAGCTACAGATTAAGCCTAAAAACACGCCAGCATAAACTACAATTTAAGCCCCAAAGTTTCTAAGGGCATATCCACAGTTAGGTCTTGAAGTCATAAGTCTTGTCAAATCAGCTCCTTACAGATCTTCTCAGGTCTACATCTACCCCTTCACACACCCTCTACTGCAACTCCGCAAGTCTCACATCTCCTCACGGCTTTCATTCTGAATTTGATTCAGAGTGTATCTATGTAAATACTAACTATTTACATCGGAAGAATTTAGATTAGAAGAAGGCAATCAACATTAGCAGCAAAATTCAAAGAAGAAATGGGAAGAAGCTCTGAAGGAGATCACAACCATTGGGTGGGTCCATACAACTATACATGTGTAGCCCCAAGCATAACAGACTATGGAAGCATTTGTGGTGATATACATTTTATCTAAAGTAGGTGTGAACACTATATTTGGCCACCATTACTTTGTATAGGTCAATTAGTTAAACCTCATCATTTATTATTATTATTATTATTATTATTATTATTATTATTATTACTACTACTACTACTACCTCCGTCCCAAAATAAAGTTCATCTTCACTATTCACAGGGTCATACTATATCTTCTTTCTTTACACAATTTTATTGATTGTTTGATAACATAAAATAATCAAGTCACCACTTCTTTTGTAGATCTTTTGATGTAACTTTTAAATGAATAGCTTTTATTTTAAATTCTACACCATTTTCTAAATATATTGAATTGATAATGACTTCAGTCAAACTTCGTAAATCGAAACAAAAGCTTTATTTTGGGACAAAAGTATTAAAAACTCGGTAAATAATAAGTACAGAGTACTACTTTTAGTCATACAAAATTAGATTAGCCCTTTTGCCAGTTCAAGTCTTCATAAAAGTAAAAATAAAAAAAAGACTATATTGCACAAATCTCTTCAAAAGTAAAACAACTGAATATGGAAGGGCTCATAGTGCATACATTCTTATCTGATGAGAGACCTGCACTCCTATTTTTGTATGGCAACAGTGATAAGCATTGAGCCAGCCCAGAGAGAGCAATCTTTAGATTTCCTTTACCTTGCAGCTGAAGTGTACTCTTCTCCAAAAGATCTCCGTAGCTTTGGAGAATCTGTAATTCCACATTAGGAAATGGGAAATGTTAGAAAGATTAAAAAAGAAAAAACAATAAACATATGGGAATGGATATAAAGTTAACACAATCAAGAGGCAAAAAAATCCAGATGATGAAACAACTTTGAAGAGTCAACGGCCCCACTGGGGTTCGAACCTTTGACTTCCCAATTGGGAGAACGATAGTAATGCCACTCGAGCACAAGGTCTTTGGCACAAAAATAATATATAGAAAAGGAATAAATACATGTATATTTTATAATTAAAACCTAAATCAAGCAAGGTCAATATAAGTTTACAAGTCAAAAACAAATTGAATTGAAGCTTGATGATCAGGAACAAAGGCAACTTCATGTATTTCAACTAAGCTTATACTCATTCCGTCCCAAATCTACCTTTCTACTTTCTCTTATTGGATGTACCAAAATACTTCTTGCTTTATTTTCTTTTAAAGAAATGAACATATGGCCCAAAAAACATCTTTTATATTAACAAATTTCAACCACACAATTTCACTTTTCAGCCCTTCTTTAAACTCCATGAAAGTCAAACCACAAAGCTTTTGAATGGACCGAGGGAGTATTTGCAGCAGGCTCATATATGCAACAAAAAATCACTTGTAATTCAAACAGAATTCATGAACCTTTTCAGAGTACATGGAAAATGAAGAGGGGTAGTTTTGGATCACAAGGTCAAAAAATTTGAAAGCCATTAGCCGCACGTCAATTGCTAAGCTTGTCATTGCACTCAAAATGTACACCATAATCAAGGAAATGAATGCCCCCTTGACATCCTGAAATAGAAAAAGACAACCAAATTACTTGTTTGAGAACTCAAAGAATTTGGATTTGGATTTGGACCAAATTCTTCTAATTCAAAACAAACTCAATTACAAATCCACACTTCTCCCAATGTCATTTACAAATTCAAGCCCAACTTTTCTTTAATTTATAACGTGCAATTAAAGAGTGATCTCCCCTTATGCAACAACAATTCCATACATAACAACTCGCCTCCGTCACTGTCTTTGCCGATTTCAAAATTCAAGTTCTATAATTGGAATTCTATGATTTTCCAAACAACATTTGGAATTGAAATTATGGGATTTCAAGTATTGGAATTGAAATTTAAAATTTCAAATGAGTTCTAGTTCCCAAACATTACCTTGAGTCGTTCAAAAATAAATGGTGATATGAACTACATGGAAAGAAAAAGAATGCATTCTAGTCTTCAAAAGAATAACATTCACTCAACTCATAACAACCTTACGCTCTGGTTTGTTACTCTATCACAATAATCATTACTACTGAGACTAACAAAGTCACATTCAAGAATACCTCTTTGCAGCCAGGTAAAATAACTGACTTGAAAAGTTGATATAGTGTTTCACGGACCAACGTATCATCATCACTAATGCGTTCACGCAGTTTCTCTATAACAGCAAGTTTGTGGAGCTTTAATTCATCTGGGCATTTAAGAAAAATATCCTTAATTCCAACCAAGGCATCTGAAAAGAGAAAAAAAAAACATAGTTAAGTTCTCTTGCACTCATAAAAGAGGTAAAAAAAACTCCCTTATATACTCAGTCATACTCTTGAATGAGGGATTCATACAAGTTAAAGTAACATGAGAGTACCTTTACGGACTTTAGCATTGTGATGGCTTGTTTGTTGAAGAAGCTCCTTTAGAGTTAGTCCTTTCTTACTCACAGCTAAGCCTGCTTTCTCCAAGGATACACTCTGCTCAGGAAGAACAATGGCTGCTCATAGGAGTTAGGACACATTATAACATTTTCATCACTCAACCTCAAATCCGCAGTAGCCGATGCAACCACTTATTCCTTTAATCCAATGAACACATTTTTATAATAAACTAAAAAGAATAAAGGGAATAATTATGCAAATGCACCATCATTGAGAATTCTATTCGCAACTCAAGATATAATATTTTGAAACACACTTGCAACTTTGCAAGAGAAAATTACAGTACACAAACACAACAACAACAACAACAACAATTCCAACTCCATCAGGGTCTAGATGGTCCATATGTACAAAGCCTTACCCCTTAAAAATAGAGGCTGTTTTTTGTTATTGATGCATCGCTGCCTTTAGTATCCAAAACTTCACAGAAAGTAAGAAGCAAGAAAATTTAATGTGTTGTTTTGATTTAGTCCATTATTCACCCCAACCAAAAAACAGTGTTAAAAAACTCGTCTTTAATACAGATAACCACAGGAAAACGGAGCATAAAACAAACATCAACTTTTGTCAATAAATACTACACATAAAGCCTCAATAATGTTTTTGTTAAATAAAAAACAAAAATAAAAAAATAAAACAACCTTTGGATTTGATATCTGTGTTTGTAGTGTTCTTTGGCGGAGGCAATTTTCTCCCAATTTTTCTTTTGATTTTCTGGAACATAATCATCAAAGAAACAAGTGCATGAGCATATGAACAATCATCAATAAGCATACATTTATCCCAAATTTCTACATTGAGCAACAAGGTGAAATAAAAATACTTTAAAATCAATGCCACGTTTTTGCTGCTTCTTTGATTGAGCCTTTGACTTCACCATCGTGGTAGAGATTCTGATATTTTCAGCTGTTCAATGGATAAGTAAGCTTGAAACAGAAAGGTCCTACTGGAGTTGGCACGTCAGGATACTGAACATGGATACAAGCATGAATTTATTTTTATTACAGGATAAACATGTTTAGTAACAACTTTTTGGCAAACATGGCATGATAACACGTGTGAAGTATGAACCCATTATGCAAGTTACCACTGTTTTAAATAGATTAAAAAATACTCCCTCCATCCCATAAAAATAATCCTAATTCAACAAGGTACAACTTTTAACATTAGTGAGGTAAAACAATTGAAAATCATCAATTATAGCTATGCTTTTAAATTGCATATGCAGATTTAACTAAATTTAACATATTAAAGTAATTAAACACGTTCAATATACTTTTTTTATTAAAAACATCGGGTATAATGAAAAATTAACTTTTGTTCAAATTAGGACTCTTTTTTTATGGAGGGAGTAAGTGAGTAACTTTAACTTACTTCTCCATATTTGAATTCAAGAGGCTTTTTATATAAATTAAAATATATCCAACAAATGCAAATAAGAAGCAGTCAGCGTATCCAATCAAAACTACACATGCTGATATTGAATAGATGATATATACTCATATATCACTTTCAGGTGGACAAAATATCAAAATCTACAAACTACTTTAGTTAGTTCACCATCCAGATTAAGCATATTAGACTAAAGGTCTTCCATCTCTAAGCTGAAATATAACGGCATTACATGTGTGTGTCCAAGAACCCTAGATTGCACCGGGGCGGTGCGGGAGCATATACGGGGACAGGGCAGAAAATGGAAATTTTAAAAATTACAGGATGCGGGGACGGAAAGGATACGGCAACAAACAATAATAAATTACTAAATATAGAATTGTAAATATAAAAACAATACTTAAGTAGCAAAATGGTGAATTACTAGATATGAGTACTATCAAAAGTATCATATTTGGAAATAGGAAAAATTATCTCAAATAATCCCACCTTTTTGCGCTCTTTCAAAAATAATCCCACTTTTCACTGTCACCGAAAATAATCCCACCTTTTCGCATGTGTGCGAGTTTTGGGTCACCGTTAAAAAACTAACGGCCACTCAACGGAAGTTTTTGAAAATGCCTGTTTTTTGCAAATAAATGAAAAGTGGGATTATTTTAGAAAACTTTACTTTTTACTTTTTTAGTTTTGAATTTAAAATTAATATTTTTAAAAATATAACAATACACTCTTGTTAGAGATTTGTCTAACGATTAACAAATTTTGTTAATTGTTTTGGGAAAATATAGTATTGAATTATCAAAAATAATTCAGAGTATTGATCAAGGAAGAAATTACAATAAAAAAATTGTAGTGATTTATAAAATTTATGGGTTCCGTTTCGGAGAAAAAAATATTGTGTCATTTTCACAACTTTTGAATTACTATTTTGGGGAAAAATTTGTATTGAGTTATTAAAAAAATCACAAATTGGGTAGTTCCATTTTAGAAAGAAAATTTTATTGCAATATAAGATTATCAATAAATATTTCAGAGTGTTCATGGAAAAATTGCAATACATCAGAAAATGTAGTGAGTTATAAAAATAAAAGTTCTATTTTTGAAAAAAAAATTGTTGTGTTATTTTCACAACTATTGTAATGTTGTTTCACAAAAAATATTTATATAGAACTATCGAAAAATATTCATAAGTTTTGTAGTGCCATTTTTTTAAGAAATAATAATAATGTAGTATCAAAAAGTAATTTGAAGTGCAGCTCAAGAAAAATACAGTAAATGCAACTTACAAAAAAATGTACTTCATCCGTTATCAAAAACACTTCATCTTTAATTTTTTTCCCTTCCAACAAAACACTTCCACTTTCTATTAAAAAACCACTTTTACCCTTACTTTTTCATACCCTACCTATCACATCATATTTTATCTCTAATAATCTATCCATCACATCTTACTTTTACCTATCACATCAAGGGCAAAATTGGAAGTCAACTACAATTTAATACTTCCTTATTTTTACACAAAGTCAAAAGAGGAACACTTTTTTCCAAACGGAGTAGTTAGTTATGAAGTTAATAAATTCGCTCTATTGTGTAGAATAATTTATTTTTTAATTATTACCATATTATTGGTTATTGAAAAAAAACAATTAGTTTCACTCTAAAAACACTTAAATTTGGTATTTTTTACAAAAAAATAAAATAAAATTACATTTAAAGAAATTAAAAAACGAAAAAGGGAGAATTTACCTAAAATAATCCCACCTTTCATTTATTTGCGAAAAACGGGCATTTTTCAAAATTTCCGTTAAGTGACCGTTAGTTTTTTAACGGCGACCCAAAACTCGCACACATGCGGGAAGTGGGATTATTTCTGGTGAGAGTGAAAAGTAGGATTATTTTTGAAAGAGAACTAAAAGGTGAGATTATTTGAGATAATTTTTCCTTGGAAATATAACAAATGAACATAACAAGTAAACAAATACACAAACAAATTCTTGTTGAAATAACGGGAGTAAAAAATACAGAACAAATTATTGTTAAAAAATAGAAGAAAAAATACAGAACACATTATTGCTTCAAAAAAATCACAACACGATTGTACCTGTTGTTGTGTGGGATTAGTAGAAGGAATTCCAAGATGGTAGCTTTGAATTCGGTTCCCTTTGTTTGAAGAGAAGGATCCTCGCCGCCGGAGGGAAGAAGAATCGCGGGAGGATGGGGATGGGGATGGCTGCGCAAGAACGGAAAAGAAAATCGAAGAATGGGAGAAGGGCAACACGGAAACAAAAAATTTAAATTACCTCCCGTAGGGAAAGTGTTTCATGGTATACATGGGCCGATAGCCTAAAATCGGTATCCAGGAAACTGATATTATTTGTATCCGACTACGACTAAGGATATCAGATACCGGATTTGGTAATTGTATATCCGATCCGTTTAAAATCTAATCTGAATAAGCATCCGTTTAAATAAACGTTTATCCGAATATCTGATCAATTATATATAGTTTTTCCTAATTTTTTATGTTTATATTTTGTTTCTCTATTGATATTTCAAAATATAAGACAAATTTATATACAAAATAAATGTGTAGACACATAAAAATATATACAGACATTTAAAAATATGTGTATATGTGTGTTGTGTATATCTTTTTATCAAGTTATCGTAAAGTATCATAAATCATGAAAACAAAGAAAATAATTATCTCTGATGGGTGTATTTCACCCAAGACCGGTCAAAGGAGAAGGCCAAATCTTTGACCGGTCAATCTCGAAAGTTTTGGAAGGGAGACTTAAATCGCCAGCAAAACGATATATCATCGGCCAAATAATGACCGGTACACTTCACAAAAAAGTATACCGGTCAAACTACGTTATCATCCTATTTATTCCTGATTTCGATAAATTCATCCCTCGGAGATTACCCGGTGTAGTTTCTGGGGTTGGAAAGTGTCGGCAGAGGAGGATCTGCGAGGGCTTGGCGTGTAGCGACCCGTGTCAGTAGAGGACAACTGGAGATGCTGGAGAATCCATCCAAGGCACTACTTGACAAAGGGAATGATCCCCTTCACAAGGCGACAAGGCAGCTTGAGGACGAAACCAGTCACCTCGCACCACATCAGCAGCATGCCCCCACGTGGGCGCACGTGGTCCTGTCCCCTTAGCCTAGTATAAATACTCATGTAAACCTCAGAAAGAGGGATCCGAATTCACTCTCTTTAAACTCCTTGTAAAAGCACCCGTGCATTCTCCGTTATAATATAAATTGGGCTACAGGTGTTCCACCTAAAGTCCTACCGGTCAATTTGCGTGTTTTTACCTTTCTTACTTTGCCAAATCAAGCGAACTATTCTAGACCCGGTCTAGTATAGTTTGACCGGTCAAGTAATTTACACCATCAATCTCATACCAAATTATAGTTGATTTAATAATAGTTTGACTTTAATCTAATTTAAAATTAAAGTATTGTTTAATTTGAATTTAAAAATTGGAAACAGATACGGATATATCTGATATCCGACGGATGCGGATACGGTTTTGATTTTCAGTATCCGTCAAGATCCGTATCCGAATTCGATATCTGACAAAAATAAATGGATACGAATTTGGTAATGGCACATCCGATCCGATTAATATCCGTTTACACCCCTAGGTATACACAACAAATTAAAGAGGAATACTTTTTAAAAGGAGGAACTAGTTTTAAAAGGAGTAATAACATTTTTTTGGATGGATGGGTAAAAGATTTCTTTCCTATCTTCAATTTTTCTATTTTATTAAATTATTTTTTCATATAGTCCCTCAAGTCCCTTTGTTCGAAAATAATTTTCTTGTTTCTCCTTTTTTCCCATCCGAAATTAATCTTCTCATTTCTAATGTTATCTTCAATTCTTCCAAACATACCCTATTCATTAAATTTTCATTTACTCTTCAAAATTTCCCCTACACTTCTTTCTCTTTCTTTGATCCGCAAAGAAGAAGAAGAAATAAAACGAGAACAACATTGTCACTTGCAAATAGAGGTTGTACGACCTATTCACGCTTGACATGCACTCAAAAGTCATTGTTTTTTTATAATCAACTTTTACATTTTTTTGACATGTTTATTTATTTAAAATTATTTTACAAAAAAATTGTATTATTAAAAAATAAAAAATGCCTAAAAAATATGGAGTGTTTTATATACACACATTGTAACGCTCTAAAATATGGTCTAAAAGTTATTCTATAATAAAAGTATTTTAGAAACAATATTTTGACCAAACAAAAACATTACCAAAAACGAAAGAATTTTTAGAATCAATGATTTTTTTAAGATTGTCTTTTATGGATAGGTCTCGAAAAGACGAATCCAACGGCATATTTTATGAATAAATCTAATGTACAAATTTTCAGTTATGACATTTTAAATATATAATTTACATAAAAATGAGAAGTGGTCAAAGATGTGAACTTTTGTAAAATGATTTATTAAAATAAATATTTAATTGAATCATATTGATTGAATATGAGACTAATTTTAATTACATATCAATTAACTCAATTTTGACTCTGTCAAAGTCAACACCCAAAAATATGCTGTCGGAAAAAGTTGGACCAAAAAGTGTTCCCCGATTAAAATCAAATTAGTCCCTAGTCCCAATCAGGGACTTGCGTAGGGAATAAAAAAAAATCTATTGCCCTTCCCACTACCGCCGAACAAGCAGTGCAAGAGGAGGTCATCCGACCATGTCTTCTTCCTCTCCTTACCACTATATAAATATATAATCTCTCAAATCCTTACCATTTTCACCATTATTCTTCCAAAACAAATGTGTGAGTATAGAGAGTAATAAAGTAGTGTTATCAATTTAGTGTGAAGTCGCTGGAGCAAGTCGTGGTGTTTGTCGGAATCATCATTTCACTTCGAAGTAAGCTCGTAAATATATCTAGTGATTAGAATGTTCGTATAGATCATTTCTACGTTCATAAAGGGTCGTTTGATTGAGTTTTGTGTCTGACATATTTGAAGAACCAAGAATCATAAACATTGAATTTGTTTTTAAAACTTTGAATTGATGCCTCTAAAATGAAGTTTGGTGACCAAAAATGGAATTTGAGAAAAGTGGATTGGAGGTTGAAGGTGATGAATAGTAATTTTAGTTGACTATCCAATTTTATCCTTGGTGTGATGGGTAAAGTAAAATGTGATAGTTTGATTATTAGTAAAAAAGTATGATGTGATAGGTAAGATATGAAAAAGTAGAGGTAAAAGTGGTTTTTTAATAAAAAGTAAAAGTGTTTTAGTGAATAAAAAACAAAAGGGTGAGAGTTTTTTATGGAACGAGAGAGTATGATATTAGGAGAATAAGATGACATCGTGGCGAGATAGTTAAGATTTTATGAAGTGCCGAGTATTTTAGTAGTTAACTATTTTAAAACTTTTAAAAGTAAGCGAGTAACATATCTTTTCAGTTTTCAAAGACTTATTTTTAAATTTTTTTAAACTAACGAGCTACTATATACTAATTCTCGAAGTATCAAATATTGATGTTTGGAGTTGTCTTTTTGTCTTTAGTAAGTATTCTTAATTCCCAAATCCTAATAGCGGTATTGTAGTCTATTACTCCGTTTACATGTACATGAGGAATATAGTACTATAAACTTAAAATTACATAGTACTCATCGAATAGTTAGTGTTTGTTTTAATTTTCTCAAAGTATTCTTTCGATGATCAATCTTTTGGACTAGTCTTCTACTAACCCTAGACCAGTCCAAGTCCTTTATATGTCTTTCACAAGTCTCAGATTAGTCATAGTCCTACTTACAAACTAAGGACCGTTTAAGACTTGCAGTCTTGACCGGACTAGTCTCAAAGATTAGTTCAATCCCAATCTTTTATGTCTCGATCTTAGATACTGGTCAGTCTTTGTATCCACAATTCTTTTAGTCTTCTCTAATCTTTTTGTACTCGTATTGTGATATCTTTTTTTTCTAAAACGAAATTAAAATAAAATACTCCCTCTGTCCGGAAATAATCTTCACATTTCTCCTTTTTCTCCGTCCGGAAATAATCTTCCCATTTCAATTTTTTATACACTAACTACCCAAAATACCCCCACTTACAAATACTCACCCTATCTCTCCCCTCCCCTTTTCTCTCTCCTCCCTTCCTCGCCTCTCTCCTCTCTTTCCTTTCTCTTCTCTTTTTTTTCTTATTCTTCTTTTATTCTCTCCACAATTGTTCCTCTTAGAGATCTGTTCATTCTTCTTCTTCTTCTTCCCCACTTCTTTCTCACCCTGTTTTTTCTCCAGATCTATTCCTTCTTCTTCTTTTTCTTCTTCTTCTTCTCCTCCTCCTCCTCCTTCTCCCCTCCCTTCTTTCTCGTCCTCTTTTTTCCGTCCAGATCTGTTCCTCTTTCTTCTTCTTATTATTCTTTTTCTTCTCCCCAATTCTTTCTCATCCCTCTTTTCTTTCTCTAAATCAACTCATCTTCTTTTTTCCTCTTCTTATTCCCCTTTTTTTCCTATTTGTTTGTCTTCTAAATCTGTAAGGTTTGGGAAGATCTAGGGGCTGAAGTGGTTGTGGGAGTTGTGGCGATTGCGGGGGGTCGACGGTGGTTTTGGATCTGCCGCAGTAGTGGTATCGACGGAAATGGTGAGAGCAAAAGGCAGGACAGCGGGTGGGGACAATTGGGGGAATGACATTTTGGACTTTTCCATCCTAAAGTCAACACTTCAAAAAAATGGACTCTACTTTGATATTGTCGTATCTCGTATGGGTTATTACTCTACTTTGATCACTCTTTGACAATAGTTTGTACGGCGTACATGTGCACGGGATTTCAAAAATTTAAAGTTCTATAACTTCTAACTGGCCTGTGTATTAAAAAAAATTAATAAAAAATAAAAAATAAAAACTCCATAGAAATGCCACCGAATTCGCACCTCATCTTTCTCTCTCTCTCTCCTCCGTGTAGCAGAGCTCCGGCCACTAGCTCCCTCGTCAGCCGCCTTGCTAGGGCGTTTTGAAGAACAGATTTTCCACTGATCGAACCATCTGACGCTCCCGTGATTGCTCTAATAGTGCGAGAATGACGAAATTGGGGATTTGCCCGTTTGAATTTTGAATTCCATGAGTGGCTCTGGTTTTCTGCTCAGAATTAGGTCCCGGGAGTGTTGAAGACAAGCAGAATGCCGGCTCACAAGTCGAAATCGGAGAAGAGGGAGGATTCTAAGCCTCTGCGGAGAGATCCTTATGAGGTCCTAGGAGTCAACAAGTACTCCACAGATCAGGAAATTAAAACTGCTTACCGAAAACTAGCTCTGAAGTACGTGTGTTCTTCTCTCTCGCTTTCATAGTTCGTCAATTTGGTTTCCCGAGCTGAAATGTGATCCATTTTCGCAATTTCTGTGTGAATTGAATCTCCTATTGCCTGAGATTTTTTTTTTTGTAAAATATATTCTGCTCTGCACATTTTTATATTTTTATGTTTTGAAGATTTTGTGCAACTAGTATTTAGTTACTGAGAATAGTGGTGAAGGAGTGGGAAATTATCTTTCCTTATTACAGTAGTTAGTAAGGTAGGTCCGGTTGTAGTGTGTTTAGCTGTAAATGCATTTCGGTTTTTGCTAATTCAAATTGGATTTGTTATTATTTTTTTTAATTTTCAAAACTGAAGATGTCTGTGTTGGCTTATTGGTGGAAAAATCTGCAATATAATTTCAACTAATACTCCGTATAAAAGTTCTCTCTTGTAGAGAAATGAAATGATTTTCCCCTATAAATAAAGAAAAAAAGATGCCTAATTTTGTGGATGAAAGCTGCATCAATTTTTGAATCATACTAGGAGAGGAATATAAATTAATGTTGAAGATGAAGTTTTCTGGCTTTCCCTGCTGTAATATACCCCGGAGTACTAAAAAGTAAAAAGTGCAGCTGCTTCATATCTAAGGAAGAAATTTTACGCGTAGTTTTTGACATCATTGCTCTGCTGTTAACTATTTGTGTGGTGTGGGACAACAACAACAACATCCCAGTTGAATCCCACTACAGTAGGGTCTGGGGAGGGTGTGTGTACGCAGACCTTGCCCCTACTCGGAAGTAGGGAGGCTGTTTCCAAGAGACCCCCGGCTCAACCTGCACAAAAATATGGAAGGGAACACAGTATAATTTAAACACTTGATACAAATGTTCTATTATTTGCCGAGTACTTATCTTTTGGGAATGTTTTAGCTTTGGGTAAATGAATAATAGGCTAAATTAAAATGTCATATTAAACTTCTTTTGCTTACTTTCTATGAAGTTTTGGGGTAGTGAATGCAACAATGCATCATGGGTAGAGCCAATGCTTTTTAGAGGGGTATGATTGTGCACATCTTGACCCCTCTAGCCATTAAATAACTTGTAACCTCAACAAGGAATTAGTTGTTGGTGGAATAACATAAGAAGCTGGCCTAGGTTAAGACATGCACACTCACTTCTAGCCATCAAAAGCATAGGCATTCTACATTGTCCATATATGAGTTTTTTTTTCAAAAGCCTTTTATGCTCATAATATTTGTGAATTTTATGTTGGATCGGCGTTGTGGAAGTCCGAGAGTACATATCATTCATAAAATTATTGAATTTTCAGACTCATAGGCAGTGCTTTTGCTATTTATAAGTTTGTAATGCAACCAGGAGAATGGGCCTCCTCCTTTAAGATTAAAAGGAACCTGACAAAATTGGAAGTTGCAATCTAAGAGCCATCTCAGGATTATAAAACTGTGTTTCCTGATGTATTATTTTGTGTTTATATTTTTGACAAGCTAGTTTCTTTGCTAAACCTGTAAAGGTACCATCCCGACAAGAATGGAAATGACCCTAGAGCAGCTGATATGTTCAAGGAAGTCACTTTTTCATATAACATTTTGTCTAACCCAGACAAAAGGCGTCAATATGATTCTTCTGGGTTTGAGGTTTGCACTCTCTTTATTTACTTGTGGTCATTTACTACTTTCACTGATCAAAACAAGCACACCTACTGTGGTGCAGTTATTTTAAATTAAAGAAGTTGAATTGTCTATGTGCCATTCTGTATATCATCTACTTATACATAAACTTCATCCAAGCAAGGTAGGCAGCAATCACAGATGTCTCAACCAGGCTTGCCCTGAAGTAAACCACACTACTATTCCTGGTTTCGGCTTGATGATATTTAATCATATTAGCAGATGGGATTGAATATTTTATTTATCTATGTTTTCATGTAGTTTGTATAGAAAATGTGGATATGTTGTACTATGGCCTGATGTTGTTTTTGGTCCAGATACATGGTTATGAGTATGATTATTCAGTGAATCTAATTACACTTAGCTAAAGCAAATTAACTGGAATTTCATTCAGAGTACAGTCTCTCTCCCATCCCTCACAGAGTCACAGCATACAGACATAATATGTACCAAGTGATGAGTCAAATGAAGGAATTTCATATTTTAACGTAAAAAATTACCAATTTAGGTAAAAAAATTACCAATTTAGGTAAAAAATTACCAATTTAGGTATAAAATTTCTTACTTTTCTTATCGAATACATATCCTAGCTCACGTGTTCAGTAATTAACTTTTGGCTTCATGCACAGTATCTGATTAGGGTAGCATTAGTGAGACAAATTGAGGCTGAGAAACCTTCAAGGATATGTACAATTTAACTTTACTGATAAGATTTCCCCAATCGATAACACATGGGTATTCTAAGTCTACAGGATTACAATAGTAGAATCTTCAATAACAAACATTTCCTCATCTGCTTTAGTTAAATAAAAAAAATCTCAAATTTTCTTATTTGTTAGTTAGAGATTGATACCTAAATCACTCATGCCATTACATTTTCATTAGGCCTAATTGTTTAATAAGAATGTACTTTTCATCTTTTCTGCAGAGTTTCCTAAGTATTTTCATATTTTTAGTGAGCTATATTGATGTGCTTTTAACTTTTCAGGCGGTAGAATCAGATAGTCAAGACATGGAACTAGATCTTTCAAGTTTGGGGCCTGTAAACACCATGTTTGCTGCCCTATTCAGGTCAGTCTATGTCATTTTCTGTACTTTGGAAACCTCTCTTTTTCTCATGGATCTATAATTCTATCATTCTTTTTCAAAAATAAAACATTTTCTGTTTACTATCAGTAAGCTTGGGGTACCAATCAGGACTGCTGTTTCAGCCACTGTCTTGGAAGAAGCTTTAAATGGCACTGTGCCCCTTCGCCCCCTCGAACTTGGGCAGCCCATCTGTAGGAAGGTATGATCTAAGTATCATTTTGATCTTTCTCATAATCTCATGCAACATATTCCTTCAATCCTTAAGATGTAATTTATCTTATCTTAACAGGTAGAAAAGCAGTGTGCACACTTCTATTCTGTTACAATCACAGAAAAGGAATATAAAGGAGGCTTTGTCTGTCGGGTGTTATCATTAGATAAAAGCAAGTTTAAGGCAAGTTCGTTAGTCTAGCATGTTATAGAATTATACGGAGTAGCTAATAAATATAGTTATCAACGCGTCGCCTAGGCGTCGAGTTGGTTCGGACCTCTAGCCATGACTTCTTGATTTGCCAGAAGAACGTTGACGTCACCAAGGAGACAACATGGTGACAACTTGAAGTTTTGTGTGTTTTTCTAAAAACCTAGTGACAATGGATTATGGAGCAGGCCATGTCGCATTAAAATGGTTTATTTAAAAACTCAATACTCTTCCTAAAATAAACTTCTCATTTTCTTTTTGATTTGTTCCAAAATAAACTTCTCATTTCTTTTAAGTAAATCATTGAATGGCTCACAATTTTTCTGCCCTCTTCATAAATCTAAACTACTCAATTACATTTTTTTTTAAAACTCTGTGAAAAAGTGATTGAGAAGTTTAGTTTGGGACGGGAGGAGTATTAAAACTAGCATTAACTTTTTTCAGTTTCCTTATAAAATTTAGCATTAACTTTTTTTGCAGCATAATATTTTTAATTTTTTTTTGAAGAGATAAAGTTAATATAAATGTTCAGAATACTTATGGTGGAAGTTTTATGTTATATTTATATTAATTTTACCTATGTACGTAGTACTATAATTCTCATTTATGAATTATGACTTGTTGCCTAGGAGTTTGCCTAGCCGATAAGGCATCCTGGGGGCACACTAGCACCACGACTCGTCTTAGCTCCATGAAAACTATGCTTATAAATTGTACAGAGTACTTTTCATATGAATATCTGTCTTTTAGTTTTCTAATGTGTATAACTTGTTTATCTGCAGCTGTTGTACTTTGAGAGAGAAGAAAATGGTGGGTTGAGCCTTGCACTGCAGGTATGTATGGTCTGCCAATGTGACCTTGTCTTTTTGTGTAGACACACCAACAACACCAGTGTCATTTTAGACTTCCTCATACATACATACATACATACATACATATACATATATATATATATATATATATATATATATATATATATATATATAATGTGAAAGATACTTAAATCAACTATCATTATTTTGTAATTTTCTTCTATACCATAATGCTGTTCACTGAGATTGATTGCAAAATGTTTGCCCAATTCCAGGAGCGGCTCATAAGTTTCTATTTTAAGACAGATTGAGATCTTGTATGTTTTGATATTTTTGATATTTCCTGAGACGCTTGCTTGAGGCATTTCAATGACATCGTGTCACCTTAATTGTAGGAGGATAGCACAAAAACTGGAAAAGTGACTTCTGCTGGGATGTATTTTTTTGGATTCACTGTTTATCATATGGATCCAGCTCATACCTCGGTAAGAGCACTCACAATGGGGAGAAAAAAATTTCCTCATCAATTTCTTACTACCTTTACCCTCTCATAGTCTCATCCACATCATCTTACATCATTTTTTAGGTGTTTGAACTTTTTTTCATGCACTCCATCAATGAGGAAATTTGTTTCCCTATCCTCTCTCACATTTGCAGCCCATATATTTCCTCTTACTGCGTGCTAAAAAAAGTTATGCGTGCAAAAGTGAGGAAAATCATGAAAGTTCATTGGTGGAGTGCTAAAATTTTACACGCGTGAAAAATAAATCCACTGCCGGGAGTGGTCTAAGTGAATCTGGTGTGATACCAAATGGTTCATTTAATAGCTGTCTTACATTCATTGCCTTGTTGACTTGGTGCAGTTGACAACTGCTAAGGATCAAGACTCTGCATTGTTTAAAAAACTGGATGGGTTTCAGCCATGTGAGATAACAGAGTTAAAACCCGGAACACATATTTTTGCCGTATACGGTATCCTCTTTTTGCTTGTCATTCAGTCCACTGATCTTATGTTCTTGAAAATGCCTCTTAACTCCTTTTCTCAATTACCTGCACAGGTGACAACTTTTTCAAAAGCATAAGCTACACAATTGAAGCCGTTTGTGCTGAAAATTTTGCTGAGGATAAAGAGAATCTAAGATCAGTTGAAAGTCAAATTTTATCAAAGAGGGTGGAGTTGTCCAAGTTTGAAACAGAATACCGGGAGGTATGCTCTCTAAGTAGTATGCATTTGCTAAGAGCATGTCATGTGTCATTATGTTTCTTGCTTTCAGTTTTTTTAAACCTAAAACAAAATCTGAAAACCAGAACAAGTACTATCTCCTATATACTCCCTCCGTCCCATATCTTTCTTCTCACTTTCCTTTTCGGGCTGTCCCACTTGATTCTTCCCATTTCCTAAAATAGAAATAAAATACACTTAAAGTTACCCATTTACCCCTCCTTTACTCTTTCTCTCTCCCTCATCCTAATTTCCTGCCAGTATTTCTTTTTCTTTTCCGCGTTGTTTTTGTCAGACAACCCCATACCCATTTTCTCTTTCTTCTTCTTCTTGCTCTACTTATTCTTCTTCTAATCACCTTCCTCTTCTTCTCCTTCTTCTAATCTTCTTCCTCGACCTCGTATCTCCTCCACTCCTCCTCCTGCAGTTCTGCGTCAGACAATTTCCCTCATATTCTTTTTTTTCTTCTTCCGATTTCTTAATTTTTGAATCCTAAATTTGATTTTTTAGATTCTTCAATTCCTAGATTTAAATCTAGGTTTGATTTTTTAATTTCTTTAATTCCTAAATTTGAAACCAATATTTGATTTTTAATTTCTTTACTTTTTAGATTTGAAATCTATATTTTGATTGCTTTTATGGCAAGAAGTTAGATTCAAATTTTTTCATTTAGATCGTATTGAGGTTAAAGAAAAAATAATGAGAGAGGTACCAACGAAGGTAGAAGAAGAAAAAAGAGATGTGGGGTGTGAAAAAAAGAAGAAGAAAGCAGGATAACGGAAGAAATGGAAAAGAAGAAGAAGGGTGGGGTGGGTGGATGGTACTTGGAACATGTGAATAAGGAGAAAAGTGAAGGGTAGAAGAGGAAAGTCCTCTCTTTTTTCACTTCCCATTAAAACCCGTGCCAAGTCAAAACGGGAAGTTTCAACTTGGACGGAGGGAGTAGTTTTCAGTACTTTGTTGGTATCTTTCAAAATTAACATGATAAGTATGACTACCAAGTTTATTTGAAAAAATTCACACCAATACTCCCAGAATTGCACAAGTTTACATAAATACTCCGAGACTCATTAAATTACACTAATGCTCCCAAAAATTTCCTATATTCATATCGTTGCTCCGAGAATTGATATATGTTTACTTCCGTGCTCCAAATGTTGGGGCACTGATGTAAACACATCAATTCTTCGAGGACCGATGTGAATATTGAAAAATTTTGGGAGCATTGATGTCATTTATTAAATCTCGGAGTATTTCTGTAAATTCTTGCAATTCCGGGAGTATTGATGTGAATTTTTCCAACTTATTTTACCACTAATATCATCTATGATCTAACCTTTAAAACCATGAAACAAAAAAACTAGGTATAATGCGTTGCATTGATGTTTCACATTATGTTCGCAGGTTCTTGCACAATTTACAGAGATGACAAGTAGGTATGCGCAAGAAATGCAAGCAGTGAGTTGTCTCCAACAAAATTTTACAACTAGTTCCTACGTTGGAAATCGGGATTAAAATTAATTTCTCATTATCATCTTATTTATATAACATAAATGTCGTCTTACCACGTTTCCTGTTCATCATCAACAGATTGACGAGCTTCTTAAGCAGAGGAATGAAATACATGCCTCGTATACAACTGCTTCTTCCCCGATGAAGAACACTGGCAGTGGTCGCACCAAAAGCAACAGCGCTTCTAAAGAGGCCAATGAGGACGACAGCCCAGTAAGACCAAAGAAATCTTCAAGAGAACAACAAGCGAAGAAGAAGAAGAAATGGTTCAACATTCACTTAAAGGTGGACAAAAGAAAGCCTTGCTAAGCGTGGGGTTAGAACTTCTTCCCACATTCAACCAATTCAGTATTTGTGCTTCACTTTCCTCTCTTTTTTTCGGGTAACGGTTCAAGTCCCAGCAACAAGCCAATTGCGGGACCACACAAATTCGGACCGCAGTTTTCTGCGCGCATCTGGTGATCGACTGACAATGTCATCAATTATATACCAGCATCTACATGTAATGACGGTCCAACATGCAAAGCGTTGTGACAGGTAGCTCTAGAATTCTTTCCCTTTGTATAATTGTATTCTTTGTTAGTTGCCGTTATTGTGTATGCTCTGGATTCTACCATCAATTCGCTCTTTTTTCGACTTTGCTTTCGATGCTTTCTCCCAGACGAATGTAAAGCAAACTGAATCTGTATTTTGGGAACTTTCTTGAATAACTATTAGCAGTGCAGGTTGTCCACTTGGGGAAGTTATTGGATTCAAATGATGTATCTATATATGTAATCTTCATCTTGGTCACGTTTATAACAAACAAAATTTGTGGTCGTGCCCCAAAAACTTCTTGTCATTCGTTTTTAAGCACCCAAAAATAATCTACTTAGGGTCCGTTCCGTAGGACTTGTTTTTTCTATTTATTACTTATTTTTATTAAAATCAGATCAGATTAGATCAGACCAGACCTAATCAGATCAAATCAGATCCAATCAGATAAGATCAGACCAGATCCAATTAGATCAGATCAGATCCAATTAGATCAGACCAGATCAAATCCAATAATATCAAATCAAGAAAAAATATAAAAGATAATATTTATATTTTTCAAGGATTAAATAATAATTGCTATTATTTGATTAAATCACATTACTTTATTAAAAATTGCACACACCGAAATCTTAATTAATATTATAATTTTAAATATTATTTTTGTTATATTATTATTATTATTATCATATTTCAACTACAAACCATTATTTTAAATAATTGTTTAGCTTGTAAGATACAAATGATGCATGGAAGCAATGTTAAAGCTTAAAAAGTTTTATTTTTCATACTTTAAAAAGAGTTATTTTAAAATACTTGTTTATAAAATAATTATACAGAACTTAGTTTTCAAAACTATAAATAGTTTATACTTAAAAAGACCTACCTTTAAACTTTAAGATGGTATAATATACACAAGGATGAGTTTATGACAAAACTGATAGAGGTGAAAGCGATATTAGTGTTTAAAATTTTATATGATCTTTAATTTGTAACATGAAATATATTACGGAGTATTATGTAATATGTATATAGAATGTGATATTTTTGTAGAATAGCATCAATATTTTCTAATATTTGTTTATTTTAATACCGATTATTTAGTTTTCACACAAATTAAAAAAGTTGTGATATTTAAAAGATGTTTAATATTTTAAAAAAAGTTTAAACATATTAATGATTAGCTAATTTTCTTATTTTACTTTTTTTAATGTATATATGAATTGTAATACTTTAAAACTATTAAATTTTGTAATAATTTTAAGTTTAATTTAAATAAAATTTAAATTCATTTACACCAGATCTAATTAGATAAAATCAGATATAGTCAAATTAGATCAGATCCAATCAGATCAGATCAGACCCAATCAGATCAGATCTAATAAGATCAAATCAGATCCAATCAGATCAGATCAGATCTAATCTGATCAGATCAGATCCAACCAGATCAGATCAGACCCAATCAGATCAGATCAGAGCTTCAACAATTCATATCAGATTCAATCAGATCAGGCGTACGGAACAAAACTTTAAAACATGAAGAAAAGTATAATGTAATAATGCATATAGACCATGTATTCTCTGTCTCATATATTTTTCTGATTTTGACTTTTGTAGTTAAGATTTTTAAACTTTGACTACAAATTATGAAAAATATTAATTGAATTGTAATATAAATGTAATATTAATTACTTTATTTTGAAATGTAATTTTGAAATATTATATTTTTAAATATAATATTGAAAATAACTTCAATCAAACTCGTAAGTCAAAATAGAAAGAATGCAAAAGTAAAGAGTAGACCACATATTCAATGGAGTATAATTCATGTAAAAGTTAGAAGTTCTAGCTTTAAAACATCTGAATCACACTTGCATTGTTATTATATACGGAGTAAAACTTGAATTAAATTGGTTTGTGAAAAATGATCTAAAAAGAGGGTTCAACAAATTAAATACATATGTTCTCTAAGTGAGAAAGTGTCGAGTGCCCTACAAACAGGTAAGTGATTCCAAATACTTCCTAAGCCTTCCCATGTAAATATCAATTGCAGAATATTGTGCTTTTTGTATAATATTTTCATTATCATTATAACATCACATTTTTTATGCAAATATATAAACTACTCGTATCGATTTTTTATGTTAATATAACTATATATTTCAATATAGTTTTGTTCAATTTTATTACATTTGATTTTGGTTATTTCGATTAGAATTTTCTTCTAGTTTGTCTCGATCGATTTTGATTCAATTAGCAGTTTTTGGTTCCCCAATCCATCCCTAAACAAAAAGGATGATATCTTTCAAATGAACAACGTTAGATCATTTCTTATTAACGGAACGTTTATTTTTTGAAAAAGTTTAAAAAATACTCCTTCCTTCACAAATTAATACTCACAGTTTGATTTTATATGGAATTTAAGAAAAATAAAATTATGTGGTTGAAAATGATGTAGAAAAGAGAAAAAAGTGAGCCACAATTTTTTTCTAAAAAAGGAAAATAGAGGATTAATTTGGAACAATCCAAAAAAGGAATAAGGATGATTTGTTTAGACTATACTATAGACAAAACCCTACTCCAATGGGTCTTTTTGAGTTTAGAGTATCAGCTAATTTGAACTTTACGAGGATATTTGAGAGTGATTAACTTATGAATAAAGTGATTTCCACAAAATTTGTAAGGAAAAGAACCCCATAATTGCTTTTCCAAAACGGTATTTTATGTACAAAATACTGGTGGAGAAAAGCAAAAGCTGACATGCCAAACAGAATAAATTCGCTTGCACTAAAATCAGAAGCTAAATTCTTAAAAGCAGTGTAGTACCAAACACTCTCTACATCATCTATGTATACATGACAACTATTCATCAACAATAGTACTCCATATAAAATTACTTCCTCCGTCTTTATAAAGATCTTATTTCTTAGGACGTCTTAAAAAAGACTCATCTTTCTTTTTATGGAAGACTTTGAGTGGCTCGTAATCTTTCTCTTTATTTTGCATCACTTTCCACAACACATTTTTACTTTTCTTTAACTATATGCCAAATTAAATTAGATTTTTTTTGGATGGAGAGATTGTTGGTGATTTTAGTGTCATCGATTTATTTTGTGTAATTGGATTTACTTAGATCGGACAAGAATTTTAATAGACGTTGTCAAACGAGTTAGAAGGCGCAGAGTGCGCGCTTGTTCAACGATATTACAAATTCACAGCGGGGTCCAAGGGGCGGCAGCCCCTGGCAGGGTCCGTTGGAAATTTGCTCTTTATGGCGGGGTCCGTTGGAAATTCTTGGTCCGTTGAATTTTTTTTATTTCGGACGTTGTTTCTTTATGAAAATCCTTAAGATTTCCGTGATCGGAGTCCAAAACAGTAAAGGACTCCAACAAGTGGATAACATTGAAATTTACTCCAAAAGCCGCAGAAACTTCTCGCGCCTCTTCTCCGCGCGAACGTACGCGTACGTCTACGCGAACGCTCATGCCGATCAAAAAATTTTCATCTCTATAAAATAGAGTCTCGTGGTATGGATTGAACATAGATTTTCGAGTGCTTGTTCTTGATTAACGTCTTATCCGATTGAAGTATTTCGTATACTCCGAAATAACTTTGATCTGAAAGTGTTTTGTACGCGATTCGTTATACTATCGAGTTCTTCGTTTAACACTGAGATTACTATATATTGAGGAGAATGTAGAGCTATAATTCGTGTTGTCCCATAAAAAAGAGAGAATTATAATAAAATAGGGAGTATGGAGTATATTAAATTTAAATTATGCTTGAGGGACCCTAAATTTGTAATTCTGTTATTAATCTCGTTCTTACATACATCTACTAACACGAAACAATGTCGATGTCTGTAAATGTTTATATGTTTATAATAGAGCGAGAGTAAAAATTGAGGCTAAAAATTTGTGGTAACAATAGTTTTTCTAATTAAATTTACTCCTTCTGCTCCTAAAAAATTGATACAGTTTGATCATGATCAAATTATGACACCCTTTACAACGAGTTAAATATAGTTTACAATAATTAAATATTATAAAAATTTGATATTTCAAAATTATATTTTAAAATAAATCAAATTTTACTAAAATTTAATCGACGAAGGGAGGATGTAAAATGGCTGATATGGTTGGAGGCTTGGATCCCATCTTAAAAAAATACACTATGAGTTCAATATGTCTGCCAATTTTAAGCTTCTCCGTTGAACTGCTCTTACCACTTTACAAAAAGCAGAAAGAAGAGAGCCATAGTGTTTTTTCAAGCAAAACGCTCATCAAATTGGACCCAACAAAATGCCGCCAAAGAAGAGTAAATCTCCGCCCTCCGATCCCCAGGGAATGTTCAGCAGAATGGTGGTCTTCTTGGTCGAAGATGGAGTTCAAACTCGCCGGTTGCAGGTCTTTTCTGCTCCTATTTGTTAAAAACACAAATGAAATTCCCCAGTATTTGTGTTCCTTTTTTTTAATAAAAGTTTTTTCCACTATTTACTTCTGGAATTTGGGTTTTCAATAGATTTGGAAGCAGAGATTGACGCAAATGGGGGCCAGCATTGAGGAAAAATTATCCAAAAATGTCACTCATGTTTTTGCCGTGGACGCAAATTCCCTTTTAAAGAAACTTGATTGCAAACGCTTGATTAGGTTCAAAGCTGTAAGCGTTGATCCACTCATCTTTACTTACTGCTCATTTGTATTCATGAACAGATGTGGGTAATTTATTTCTTGTTTCTTCCATGATTTTGTGTGGGAATTTGCTTGTGGGTGGTTGAGCTTGATGGGGTTCTTTATTTGTGCAAAAGATGTCATCCTTTTTTTCTTTTTAGAACATTTTCACTCTTGAGAATTGAAGCATATAATTACCAGAAAATCTGTTCTATCAATTTACCGCCATTTGATGTTACGATTTTTAGGCTAGTCTGGTTCGGATCTTAAAAAAGAATTTAGTTGGTGATATCACATTGTCAAAGTGGATTTTTGGTACTATATGGATCATTGCTGTAAAAACCTTTCCCGAGTGCTTATTATTTCCCTCAGAAGAACTAGGATCTTCTTGGCTGCCTATTAGTTTTTCCTGCTTAGGCCTGTCTGGTTTCACTTAGATCCCACCTAACCCCTTGTAATCCCCGATTAGGCTCTAGGTTCCACCTGGCACTTTTACAACAATGATTTGGATAATAATCATTCTGGTTTGTTAATTAAATTGTTGAATGAAAATGTCGTGTAGCAATATGGTTTCTGAAGTTCTGTGAATCCGATATGTTCCATTTTGAAGCTATCATTTGGATGAACCGTCTGAATTTTTGCTCTTTTGGTCATTATTGCTATTCAGAAAGTCCTCTTATATCAATGGGTGGAGGACAGCTTGACTAAAGGTGAAATGGTGTCTGAAGATTTGTACACTATATCTCTAGAGTCAGGGGAGAATAGAGAGACTGTCGAGGAAGATATCGCAAGTGGTTGTACTGATAGTGAGCTTACTCCAAAAAAGAGCAGAATTACTTCTGTTGGTACTGATATTGTGAATTCAGAAGATAAGTTTCACACAGAAGACCATTTTGGGCATCAGTTAGTAGAATCCTCATATATCTCTGGATGCTCATCAAGCCCTGAAATAATCAGTGGCGAGGCGCTTTATCCTTGTGGCAATGCTGTAAGCACAGGCAATCCCGTCTTCCAAGTCCCAAGTTATTCTACAGCTTTTTTAGGATTCTTTTCCTTCATATTTCCCCTAGATTCCTTCTGAAAGTCACATATCTTGTTTGATTCTATGCTTCTCTTTCATTCTTTCATGTCTGGTTTCAGGGTATTTTGATGTGTGACTTGTGTCATCATTATACAGGCTGAAATATCAAGATCACCATCGCTTTATAAGCCTCCCAATTTGAATAGGAACATTACCGAGATATTTGGAAAACTTTTTGACATTTATACGGGTAAAACTTCTGTGCTCTTTCCATTGCTGCGTATACTTGGAAATAATGGCATAAGCTTGTTAAAAGTCTATGTGAAGTGATCGATCCTCAATGACAGCATGTGGTGATGATCGACGCTCATTTAGCTATCACAAAGCCATAGCAGTTATTGAGAAATTGCCTTTCAAAATCGAAAATGTGGACCAGGTTCAAAACCTTCCTAGTATAGGAAAGTCATTGCAGGAACATGTAAGTAAACAGTGTTATTACATTTAGCTCTCTTTGCTGCTTGTATTCTATATGTTGATGGCATCTCTATTTTCTTTTGTTATCATAAGTGAAAGGGTACAAGAGAAAGGCAACCATTTTCTTAATTTCAGATTCAGGAAATAGTGAACACTGGAAAACTATCTAAGTTGGAGCACTTTGAGCAGGATGAAAAGGTACATTTGATATTTTTCTTCTTCTTTGGCTAACAATCATTTATATTTTCCCTTTCGAAAGGCTCAATGATGATTGAAGACGAAGTAAGTGACCTATGTTAAAGATGCATTTAACATACTTACATACGATGATTGAAAATATATGGTTGCGAATTTTCTGTGTTTGTTTTACAATCAGTTTTATATTTTCCTTCAGAAAGCTAATGATGTTTCACTCATTCAAGTAAGTGATCTATGTTAAAGATGCATTTCTCAAGGCATAAAATTTTTGGATAATTTTATGCAATAATTTGTACTGAAACTCCCTACCAATATGTCCTTTTATTATGTTGTTTTATGAGATACTCTATAGTCTTCGTACGATCAATACTTGAGTGATGAAAGCTTAAATTATGAATATTCCTTGACGTATTCAACCTATAGTAGTAAACTTAAGACTGAAGTAGTTCAAGTCTTAATGCTTAATATGGAAGGTGACATTTTTAGAATTCATCAGGTACGGACAATCAGCTTGTTTGGAGAAGTATGGGGTGTTGGTCCTGCAACTGCCTTAAAACTTTACGAGAAAGGGCATCGGACTCTGGATGACCTCAAAAGTGAAGAATCACTTACAAACGGGCAAAGATTAGGCTTGAAGTATTTCCATGACATCAAAACAAGAATTCCACGTCACGAGGTCAGCTTTCTTTGTTTTTTTTCCATCATGACACAAACTATAACCTTTTGTTTCTCCAGCTAATAAATCATGTAGGTTGAAGCGGTGGACCAACTTCTGCAGAAGGTTGGACAAGAGATTTTACCTGGAGTAAGAATTGCATCAGATTGATTGTATTAAATACTGATTGTACGGTCCAAACGGTCCAATGCCATTTCTTGGAATAAATTCTGATTGTACAGTCCAAATGGTCCAATGCCATTTATTGGAAAAGAAATACTGATTCTACAGTCCAAATGGTCCAATGCCATTCCTGAGCTCCCTCTAATGCGTAATGCCTACCTGACGACTTGCCAAAATGGCTTTCAGTATTTTTTTTGTTTCTCATTGTTTTTCTACTGACCATATTTTTCAAAGTCCGTCCAGAATGGTTAGATCAATGATCCAATACTTGACAAGAACAGTCGACCTTACTACCTTAGGTCTGACTGTCTAGTTGCTTTATTGTTGGATCCACCACCAGTTCATGTTTGAATTTCACATTTCCACTTCTTATCCAACGTTCATGATGACATTTCTTCTTTTCCAACGTTCATGATGACATTTGAGGCTACCCTAACGGCAGTTTTGACGGAAATCAGATGAAAAATATTCCCTAATCTCTAAGCATCATTTACTTTGGAGTTTGATTGTTCATATAATTATTAACAGCTAGAAATACTCATTTGAGTTACTCTTTGATAAAAGAAATCTCAATCAAACCATACAAAAGTTTAAGATGCAAGTTCTTATATTTCCATATACTTTAAATTTTATATTGCATCATTGAGTCTTTATTTTGAAACTGCACACACACATGCTTATGCTGAACTACCAAATTTATATGCAGTCAATATCTTTCGAAGTGCCTGCAATTGTTCATTCAAATGTTAAGAAACTAGGCTTTGTGAAAAGTCTCATGAGTCATTTCTTATAAGGAGGTGTTGTTTTCCACTTCAAAGACATTCCTCATAGGGTAGGTTTTTTATTAAGCCAATAAAATCCTCATTGCAAGGTTCTTGGTGAACTGGGCGGCATCTGTTAAAGTTTCTTGGTGATGGTGATACAGCTTAAACTAAGTTACAAGTTTTGTTAGTAACCTAGTGAAAACTAACATCCATATCAGCAAGGGCTGTTTGACGACATTGATTGCGGTCAGTTTGAGAGGACCAAGAAATAGTGGAGTACCAAATCCTAGTGTAGGAGCTTTTAGATGGTGAAGTAGGAGTTTCAGAACCATTTTAAAAATTAGTGTCAATTATTTTCTTGATTTTACTTTTTATTGCCTTATTTTACACTATTTTTATACGAGTATCATTTAAGCTTTTAAAAATCATGCAAGATTATATTTTATACTTGTATGTTCGGGATTTTTTTATTGCACCTAATTCACCCTCCTGTTAGGGTGCACACCCTCTTTTAGTCATCCCTTTGAATGTGACATTTTCTTTGTTTCCTCATTTCTTATGCCTGAAGCCAAGCTGCCACTGCTGTGCATATCCATATTCTTTATTTATGTTGATCACTGATTACTACTAATGCAATATTACAGGTTATTATTGTGTGTGGAGGGTCTTATAGGCGTGGAAAGGAATCTTGTGGGGATATGGATTTTGTTATCACACATCCCGATGGAGAAAGGTGATGATACATGATAATGTCTCTTTCAGTCTTAAGGATAATATTATATATATATATACATATACATATACATATACATACATACATACATACATACATACATACATACATATATATATATATATATATATATATATATATATATATATATATATATATTCTGTTCCTCTTTCAGTCATATAGGTTTTCTTCCTCGATATCTAAGGCATCTCAAAGAAATGAGATTTTTGAGGGAAGATTTGGCCTTGAGTGTTCACAGTGAGGTAATTATCTATTACTCCATAGTATGTATGTTCTTATTCATCATTTTGTATGCATTTATGATTATGGGTGCCTTTATTTTGCATTTTCAAAAAGAGGTGATTTTGATTTTAGAATTAGGCGATCTAAAAATCACGAGTATATGTGCTAATCACGAGGCAAGGGGGTTACCCAAATCTTTGGTAGAATCATAGTGTGTGTGGGGGAGGGGAGAGGGGAATGGGCTTCCAAAATCTCATACTAGAAACCTGGAATCACCTATTTTATTTTGGCCAAAATGCAGACCAAATTGAGAGAAAGGGTGATTGTGATTTTGAAATCAACAAAATCACCCCAAAATGCAATTCAAATACACCCTTTAAGATTTATACTTAGGAGGACCCTAGCAGCCCCTCTTCGTTGAGTTTTTTCTTTAATTAGTAAATATTTATACGCCATGTTTATGGGCATCCAAACAGATATCTTCAATGTACATTTCTGAAAAAAAATCATTTTTTGTTTTTTAATTTCCATGTAACTAAGACATATGCGCACAGGATACCAAATCAGGAGTAGACACCTATTTTGGTCTTTGCACCTGTCCCGGTGGAGAGCTGCGACGACGCATTGACTTGAAGGTATTCCCAGTTTCGGGCTATCATGTAACAATGTGATCTGCAAAATTTCACATCTAATCTGCTTTCAGCTCAAGTCTACTTGTGTGGACTAGTTTTTTGCCATCATTTCATTTGATTCATGAAATTGAGCTATTGACTTAACCTATCTTCAACGAAAACGAATTAGCAGATTCACCCACCCCTCCTGTTTTTTTGTGTGAAAGATTTTCAAAAATATTGGGCTTGTGCAATAGATTCTGAATGGGCTTATGCACAAGCATAAAAAAATACTTCCTCCATCCCAAAATGAAGTGGTTCATTTTTTATGGAATTAAAGAAAAAGTAAAATTATGTGGTTGAAATTCCTGTTGAGCCACTTAATTCATTCTTTACAAAAAAGAATGTGAACTTTATTTGGGATGAACGGTAAACGAGAACTTAATTTTGGGATGGAGTAATAAACTGTACTTGGTGTTCATTGGCTAAGGATTAATCTGCAAATGCAATTTTATGTAGTTCTTGACAGTCAACCTTTCACCCTTGGTGTAGCCCTTTTATTTTATTTTTTTTCTCAGTTTCATTTTTTATCATTTATATTGTCCTTCCAAAGAGATCTTAGTTTGGTAAAATTATTTAGAGATATGTTTGGCAAGTCTCTCTTCCTTTAAGATTACAATTCTAATGAGGCATTGCTATTGGCAGAGAACTTCGGATTGAAAAAAAAACGTATTTTCGGAAGTTTTCTTCCATTCAATTGGGTAACCATTCACCTTTTGAGGAAGTTGTTAAACAAATATTTTTTTTCAGTGTTGCGCTTAATAATATGTAGCCATTATGTTTTACTCGTACAACTAATACACACTCATTTGTCTTTAGGTGTATCCAAGAAATATATATGCTTTCGGTCTCTTACATTGGACAGGGAATGATGTCCTAAACAGGAGGTATGTGTATATGTCCAAAAAACGTCCTTTATAACGTATGGATGTCCACATATAATCCACTCTGGGTGAAAGTATTATATCCACGATCCTCTATCTTCGCGTACTGTTGCACAAAAAGTCCTTTTTATAAAGGAAACGTCTGGAAATCCCCATGTTATAAGGACGTTTTTGGGAAATCACTCTTTAAAACTCGTGTTAGAACATCCTCATACGTTTAGCTAAGCTTTTTTTCCGTCAATCTTATGCAGACTTAGATTATTAGCCCAGTCAAAGGGTTTTCGATTGGATGATACCGGACTATTTCCTTCCGCTCAATCTTCTGACGGGAAACATGTATGCTCGCGTGCTCGCTTTGAACCTCTTTGTTCTTAAGATTTTCATCTTGTTTTTTTTTTAAAATAAAGAAAAAAAAATATTTTTTCTTTTTGTTTTGAATGAATGTTGTCATGAATCATTGAATATGTTGCTGCAGGGTCTAAGAGGTGCTAATTTGAAGTTTGACACAGAGAGGGAAATCTTTGATTTTCTTGGGTTTCCTTGGCTTGAGCCACATGAAAGGAATCTCTAAATTTTGTATAGCCTGCCCAGAAGAAAATTCAAAACTTATTTTTTTTCTTCTTAAACCATATTCTTCCGGCCCACTATTTTTGTCTCATCTTATTTATTTTTGTCTGTCCCATCATATTTATGTGGTCAACAAAATTATTTTTCTTTAATTTCGGTCACTCCCTTGTGGACTTGTGGTCAACAATTTTTTTTAGAAAAGATTGTAGCCAAAAACTAAAAACCGAGGACTTTTTGGGATCGCGTCAACAAGCAGTTTCATTGGGGAGTAGACTTGACAAAAAATAATCGATTTATTTTTGACCCGAAAACCGACCCGACCCGACCCGAAAGTACTGAGTTTTAAACAAAGGTTTTATAAACCAAACTCGAAGTTGACCGAACCTGAAACGATTCGCTAAAAATGGGTCAAATTCGATCGAACCCGAATCCGACCTGACCGACCTGTTAATGTAAGAGTTTTTCAAAATCATATACTTTACTATGAAATAAAATGTTATAAAAATAAGGTTATAAATATATATTTTTTCCTTACTACTCGTTTTTGGTGTATAAATTTATATTTTTGGGCAAAATTTTAATGGTATTGCATATTTATCTTACATTTTCCAAAAACTTATGCATTTTTATTCTTTAAAATGATTTAAATACCTAAAAATTACTTCATAATTTAAATTAAAATAATATAATAGATTTAATACATATTTTTTGATACCTTAATTTTATTTAATGCGAAATGTAGGTGTTAATATTAATTTAAAAATTTTAAAAATCAAAGTCATAACCCATTGAGTCGACCTAAACGCGATGGTCTTGGGTCATGAATGTAAAATTCTCAACTCAAACCCAAAGTGATCGAAACTGAACTCAACCGACTGATTTGGTAGATCTACGAGGGAGAGTGAACAACCGTACGGTAGGCATGTTGACTAGTAAGTGGCGTGACTTGTAGAAAAAAGTCAGCAAGTCTACCACACAAACAACAGAAAAAGTGGATGGGGTGAATTGGATATCATCAACGCTGTGCATCAAGAGTACAAGCGCATCGAGAGCCACACTTTTAGTAATATCGAGGTGTGGACGATTATGCGTCAATCGATGCACCGGCAAGAAACGATACCCTTTCGACCGTCTAAGCGGTCGAAGGCTTCATCGCCCAACGACCCTTTCATCGAAAGTCAAGAGTCGGACGCCCACTGTTACATCAACCTAAACGACGAGGAAGAGGATGATGAGGTCTATGTGCATTGTGCAAGATGTGTCGAGACTGATGAGACGAAATCAGTTAAAGGCAAAGGAGAGAGGCAAGGAGAAAATCGTTTCGGGTTCAAAGGACGGCAACAAGTAATTACAAAATTAATTTGTACTCGTATTATTTTGTGTTACTCCGTATTAATTTATGAATGATATCGGAGTATAATTTAATTCGAATATAAAAAGATACTGTAATTGTTTATAAAAAAATAAAAAGATACTCCGTACGATAATTGTTTAGGAATGCGTAGCGGATGGCTCAGTGTGTATTCTCACCCTTCTCCGTTTTCAGAGCATCTCTCCTCTCTCTCTCTCTCTCTCTCTCTCTCTCTCTCCGATTGGAGCAGGGCATAAGTGGACGGAGGCTCTCGCTATCATAAACGCCGGCGCTCCGACGAAGTACATCGGGAGAAGAGGTATGTTTCTCCTTGCTTATAAGCCGGACAAAATTGTTTATCACGAATTGTTTATTCAAATTGTTTATCAGTAGTTTTTAACGAATTGTTTATTCAAATTGTTTATCAGTAGTTTTTAAGCCGGACAAAATTGTTTATTCAAAGATACATGTTTCTGCTTTTAAGCCGGCCGACTTATAAGTTGTTTATAAATTAGAAAAAATAAGTAAGTTTTAGCTAATTATTTTCAAGTCAGTTTTTCTATTTTCCATTTTGATCCAGATTATTTATTTATAAAACTGTCCCTCACTATTTATGAATATTTCTAAGTGAATTATCAATGGTTTTGTTGTACCCGAGACCCGGGGTCTTATCGAGTAATCAATTTGATGGCGGGTTTACGGAGGAAATGGATGCAAGAAGGAAGCAACTTTGAATTCCTAAGTTCAGAAACTAGTGATAGTTGATTATCATTAACTGATAATCGATTAACAAGATATGATTTCCAAACCACAAATGTTCAGAGATGCCCGATAGTCGATTATCACTTTTATGATAATCGATTGTTGGAAATGGCTGGGTAAAATATGGAGGTGATGAAGGAGTTCTTTTTGGTATTTTGATTTATGAAGATAGAATAGAATGTGGCTTAGGAAGAGAAAATGGAGAGGAACGAAATGGGTAGAAAACAAGGATGGATAAACCAAATAACGAATAAGAGATAAACACACTCTTATTATATTTGGGGCTGTTATCTATTTCACACAATAATAATCACTACTAATGTATAAAATAGACTCCTAACACACACTCAAAAGTAGCCAACTTTAGAGATATTTCATTAGGAAATTTGGTTAAAATAGCATCACACTATTTTAAGAGAATACTCAAAAGAGTAAACAAAGTTTTTCATTCAATACAATATGGTTTACAATAGCCATAAGGCCGAACTATATATACAACAATATGGGTGGAGCAATACAATAATAACAACATAGGTAGCTTCCTATCTCCTTCTCATAAATCTAATAATGTGTTACTTCATATAAAGTAAACCCCTGGTATAAAGTAAACCCCTGGTCATCCAGGGTACATCAGGTTTAAGTCATTAAAGAATAAGCCAATAAGCAAGACACAATTTTTTTGTATACCTGTTCTTATTGGAGACAGAGAGAGGTTGAATGGAAAAACTTTTTTAGCCCCTTTCACCCTTTTAATTTGTGTGTGATTTGTTCAAAAACTTTGTTTTTCAATTTGATCCGAATTGTGCTTCTGTGAAGCATTTGTTGTTTATTTCCCAAAATATTTTCATACGTCATTTGTCATTCATGTGTGATAGAAGAATGACTTTTGTTATTTTTTGAAGAGTTTGAGGACTTCTACAAAGCTTATAGTTTATGTTATAGATCTTAGGGGCTTGAGAGTTATTATACAAAAATTTAGGGTGCACCGGAGCAATTTTCTGTACATTTCCATTTCCTATCACCAAACTCCATTCACCGGTCCAAACAAACTTGCAGCACTACAGCATCCCTCTTTGATTTCCTGCCATGGAGATGACCATTGCGGAGGAGGATGCATCTCCGCCGGATTCCTACGCCGCCCTTGTTCTTGGTGGCACCTTCGATCGCTTACACGAGGGCCATCGCCTCTTCCTCCAGGTTCTTTCAACCCCCTGCACTGCGCTTCCGTCAATTTTTCACTTTCTTTCTTCTTATTGTTCTTCTTCTCTTCTTCTTCCTTTTACTGGAATGAACATGTATATTTGCAGGCGGCCGCTAAATTGGCCAGGGAGCGAGTTGTTGTTGGCGTTTGTGACGGTCCAATGCTGGCTAAGAAACAGGCACTTTCATTATTTTCACTCTCTATCCCTTCTTCCCCTTTATTATCTTATACCCTAATTGAAAAGCTTCTTTTAGAAAATAATTGGGGTTGGGGGGGGGGGGGGTTCCCGATTGATGTAGAAAAAACAGGTTTTGAAAAGTACTCTAAGACGGTGTCTGTGGTGGAATTAAACTAGAATCAGTTTTCATTGTTTGGAAAATATCTCCTGAGTTGAATTTCATAATATCTGTTTCCAAACTTAAAAATTCTCAATAGATAACACCCCCAATGTGTATTCTTAACTTTTAAGCTGGATATGCCAAAGTGCCAAACTGAGTCACAGATTGTTGTTGCGTCATTTTCAGTGTTTCCTGGATTCTATAAAGCATTTTACTCACTCTACCCTATTAAGTTTTGAATAAAGGAATGCCTCGAACAGAGTAAAAAAATTGTGTTGTCGATATTGAATTTGTAAAGAATGGTTTTGAGCCACAGATATGGCCAGATTTAGGGCCTGTTTGGAAATAACGTCAGAGGTTAGCGTTAGCGTTTTGAAAAGGCTATCTACGGATAGCGTTTAGCGTTTTCAAAGTTAATCTGCACCGTTAAATTTTTATCCAAAATGCTGACTCTAATTGAAAACGTTATTCCCAAATGGGCCATTGACCAGATATGGAATGAGAAACATTTTATGACATGCCGAAAATAGAAAAATAAGACAAACTTGTCAAGTTGTGGATCCTGATGTAATATTCGATGTCCTAATTTTTAGGTTGTACTTTTACTATTCTCCATATAGCTATTTTATAGCATGTATTCTTTGTAACTGTCTGGAATCATCAATATATAGCCCTATACTGCCGTTGAGTTTTCCCACTGGGCATTACCACGAAAATCTTGAAAGCGCTTATATGTTTTCTTCTTCATTGTTCATCATTCAATTTCGTTTTCTTCTTCGTCTCGATCTTAATTAGTATGTGTGTGACTGTGTGTGAGATCCTAACAAAACGTACCATGGCGGAGGAAGTAGATTATATCCGACATGAGATGTTAATAATGCTCAGAGCTCGCAATTGCAGTGACACGGTGCCTTCCTCTTTTCCTTTTTCTTCTTTTTCAGTATGCTGATCTAATAGAGCCTATCGAGCAAAGAATGGCAAATGTGAAGAATTACATCCAGTCTATCAAGCCACATCTCGATGTACAAGTAGAACCAATTGTGGATCCTTATGGCCCTTCAATAGTTGATGAGAATTTAGAGGCCATTCTTGTCAGGTTCCTTTTCCCCCCCTCTAAATTCTCCTCCATTATCTCTCTACGCCGTTTTCAAGATATTTTCATTATTTACACCCTCATTTTGCCATCTTTTGTGATCTTTACCTAAGAAAAAATTATTGTCATGTGTGATATTGTTAGCTTTCTCGATATAAACTTTCATCATATCAACTTTTTTATATTTATCAAACATAAGTGAAGGTATTAATGATTTGGTTTTGCATTGGCAAACATGAAGATATTAATTTCGTACGATTATTTTTCTTAGTATTTTTTATAAGAGAATAAACGAAAGGAGTTTGAACCAATACCTGAAATAAATTCAATGTGTTTTATTTTATACTCCGTACTTTATTTTACCCTTAAGTTTTAAATCATCCCCATTTTTCCTCTCGAAGTTCATGTTGTCTGTGTAAATTAGCAAGGAGACGCTACCTGGCGGAATTTCTGTTAACAAAATGCGAGCCGAGAAAGGTCTCTCCCAACTAAAGGTTTGTTTCAGGATCATTCATGTTTTTTTCTTCTGTTCATTAACGATAAACTAATCATAGACACATTTAAACTTATTACGTGGTCTTGTTCATTAGTATCTGTCTGTCTGCAGATTGAGGTTGTAGAACTGCTCTCCGAAGGATCGAGCGAAGATAAGCTGAGTTCTTCAGCTTTGAGAAAGCTTGAAGCTCAAAAACACTGTTAAAGGTGGAGTTTCTGTGCTCTTTGTTACTTCTTCCAAGCTTACATTTAATCTTACTGGCGGAGATAATTCGAGTTCGCCGCCCCCCATTGAAGGTTTCATAAGATTTTTGTATATTTCTATTTTCTCTAACTTTCCTCTAGCGATAACCTCCCCTTCACCCTCCTTCGTGTCTAGGGGTGTAAACGGATGATATCCATGACGGATATGGCATATTCGAATCCGTATCCGTTTAAGTTTAGGAATATCTGAATCCGTATCCGTATCCGGCGGATATTTACTATGCTATATCCGAATCCGTATCCGACGGATAATTATTAGTTTCGGATATATCCGGATCCGATTAGATATCCGAAAGTAACTGAATATCCGAATCCGAACAAAATATTCGAATCCGTTTAAAAATCCAATTAGATATCCAAATCCATTTATAAATGGATTAAACGCAGTCCAAATCTGTAATTAAAGTCTATAATACTGAAAAAAACTTTAGAATACAAAAAACAATAGTAAATATTTCACCAAAAATCTAATAATATGAACAAAAATATAAATTTCCAATCGACCAAGTACAAATCATATTTAGTGTATCTCAAAATCTGCTCAAGAAGATAATCTTTGATGCATCCAAAATTGCATGCTATTTCACTTGCTTCATACTTCAAAAGCCACAATAGACCAAACCGGTTAAAAAAGTCAAAGTAGGAATGAAATTGTGTTTCCTAAAACAACAAAATGAAGTTTACTAATTAGCATTGAAATCAAAANCTTTAGAATACAAAAAACAATAGTAAATATTTCACCAAAAATCTAATAATATGAACAAAAATATAAATTTCCAATCGACCAAGTACAAATCATATTTAGTGTATCTCAAAATCTGCTCAAGAAGATAATCTTTGATGCATCCAAAATTGCATGCTATTTCACTTGCTTCATACTTCAAAAGCCACAATAGACCAAACCGGTTAAAAAAGTCAAAGTAGGAATGAAATTGTGTTTCCTAAAACAACAAAATGAAGTTTACTAATTAGCATTGAAATCAAAACTTCAAGGAATCAAAACTGAAAATCTAGTGAAAATATTTAATCATTTATTCCTCATATGAATGGTGTATATTGAAGTGTATGCTTAGGAAGGTATATTGAAGTGACTTCTCAAAAACCTGGAGAACACAAAAAGAAATGATTAGATATGTTCACTAGGTTTAAGAGGGAAAATAGAAAAAAAAATACAACAAAATGGAAAGTTCAAGACTTCAAGGAATCAAAACTGAAAATTCACCTCAAGCAAGGAGAAGACAACAACAATGCATATCATTCCATGGATGTGTCACCTATGAGAACAAAAAAAATTCTATATATTAAATATTTTTTAAAGAATACTTGTTAAACAAAGAGAAAACTAAAATTACTTACCTTTTCCTTCAAGTGTTGGCAATCAATCTTTCACACAAAGTAAAGCCTCAACCGTATCTGAATTAAGTGAAGCACGTGTATCCTCTAAAACCCTACGAGCTCGACTAAAAGTGGACTCCGAAGGCACAACGGTACATGGAATTGCCAAAATATCCCGAGCTATCTTTGAAAGAATTGGGTACCGCACACCATTATGCTTCCACCAATTTAAAACATCAAATGCATTATCTTGCTCAAATACTAATCCCTCCTCCAAATACAACTCAATCTCAGTTTTCTTAGGATTGGAATTGGCACTTGATTGAGCAACAAGTTCCTTAAATCTCGTTAAAAGAGGAAATTCATTTTCATCGATTGGCAAACTTTCAACCCGATGACAAGAGTCACTCAAAGTATTAGCCTCATGAGAAGATGTTTTACCATCATACTCAACAAATAATTCTTGCCAAAAAAGATTTACTTTGGATACAAAATTGCTAGATTTACCAAAAACAGCTTTAACAAGTGTCATCTTATATCTCAGATCAAGTAAAGAAGCAACAGTCAAGGCCAAACTACACTCACCTCAATATTTATCAAATTTTGATTGCATTAATAAGGCCATTGTTGAAATCTCTACATCACTATTACTCCATGTATTCAAGCACTCTCTTATTTGAGAAATAAAATTGAAATAAAGAGGGGCAGTAGGATTCTTACTCCCGGATAGTGCATCTGTTGCATTTTTAAAAATCTTTAGATGTTGACAGACCTTCGCACCCATTTCCCACTCTTCTTTTGAGGGTAAGTAAGTGTAACCTGAATCTAACTCAGCCAAACGGTTAAATGCTTCTTTGAGATCAAGTGCAATCATAAGCATATCATATGTTGAGTTCCATCTTGTGTCACACTCTAAACTTACAGGTCTCTGAGAGTTTAGTCGAGGCGGAACCAATGCAAGACCAAATTTTTCCTCTTTGAACTGATCCATTCACATATTTTACACTATCACGTATCTTTTCAATTAATTCCTTAATCACATCTAATCCATTTTTCACAATCAAATTTATCATATGCGCTGAACATCGAATATGAAACAACTCCCCGACTTAGATCCACGAGTGACTCTTATTCACAGAGTTGTGAAACAACTCCCCGAGTTGGAGACTTATGAAACAACTCCCCGAGTTCTAATACACAGAACAAAAGGTAATACTTTATAATGTTATTGGAGACTTAGATCCACGAGTGACTCTTATAACTGATGGGTGGACACCAGATCATTAAAACCATGGATATTTTTGTGTGACTTTTCATTACATTGATTCTGATTGGAAATTGCAGAGTAAATTGCTTGCTTTTCATGTTGTTGAATATCCACATAGTGGCTTGCGTTTGTGTGAATGGTTGAAAAATCGTCTTCTTGAATGGAATATTGATCAAAAGTTATTTTCTGTTGTGGATAATGCCTCACAAAATTCTGGCATGTTGGATGGCATTAAGGATTGGTTGAATGGGAGGGTGCACTTGTTCGTCATGGGGAGTTGTTTCATATTCGATGTTCAGCACATATTATGAATTTGATTGTGAATAATGGGTTAGATGTGATTAAGGAATAATTGAAAAGATATGTGATAGTGTAAACAATGTGAATGGATCAGTTCAAAGAGGAAAATTTTGGTCTTGCATTGGTTTTGCCTCGACTAAACTCTTAGAGACCTGTGAGTTTAGAGTGTGACACAAGATGGAACTCAACATATGATATGCTTATGAATGCACTTGATCTCAAAGAAGCATTTAACCGTTTGGCTAAGTTAGATTCAGGTTACACTTACTTACCCTCAAAAGAAGAGTGGGAAATGGGTGCGAAGATTTGTCGACATCTGAAGATTTTTTAATAAGCAACAGATGCACTATCCGGGAGTAAGTATCCTACTGCCCCTCTTTATTTCACTTTTGTTTGTCAAATAAGAGAGTGCTTGAATGCATGGAGTAATAGTGATGCGGAGATTTCAAGAATAGCCTTATTAATGCAATCAAAATTTGATAAGTATTGGGGTGAGTGTAGTTTGGCATTGACTGTTGCTTCTTTTCTTGATCCGAGATAAAAGATGACACTTGTTAAAGCTGCTTTTGGTGAATCTAGCAATTTTGTATCCAAAGTAAATCTTTTTTGGCAAGAATTATTTGTTGAGTATGATGCTTAAACATCTTCTCACAAGTCTATTACTTTGAGTGACTCTTCTCATCGGGTTGAAAGCTTGCCAATCGAAGAAAATGAATTTCCTCTATTAACGAGATTTAGGGAACTTGTAGCTCAATCAAGTGCCAATTCCAATCCTAAAAAAACTGAGATTGAGTTGTATTTGGAGGAGAGATTAGTAATTGAGCAAAATAATGCATTTGATGTTTTGAATTGGTGGAAGCATAATGGTGTGCGGTACCCTATTCTTTCAAAGATAGCTTGGGATATTTTGGCAATTCCATGTACCGCTGTGCCTTCGGAGTCCACTTTTAGTCGAGCTCGTAGGGTTTTAGAGGATACACGTGCTTCACTTAATTCAGATACGGTTGAGGCTTTACTTTGTGTGAAATATACGTGCTTCACTTAATCTCATTTTATATTCACTGAAAATATTTAATCATTTATTCCTCATATGAATATGGACCTTAGTTTGAGAAAAGAATCTAGTGAAAATAATAACAACATAGGTAGCTTCCTATTTTCCCTTCTCATAATTTTAGTTTTCTCTTTGTTTAACTAGTATTCTTTAAAAAATATTTAATGTATAGAATTTTTTTTGTTCTCATAGGTGACACATCCATGGAATGATATGCATTGTTGTTGTCTTCTCCTTGCTTGAGGTGAATTTTCAGTTTTGATTCCTTGAAGTCTTGAACTTTCCATTTTGTTGTATTTTTTTTCTATTTTCCCTCTTAAATCTAGTGAACATATCTAATCATTTCTTTTTGTGTTCTCCGGGTTTTTGAGAAGTCACTTCAATATACCTTCCTAAGCATACACTTCAATATACATCATTCATATGAGGAATAAATGATTAAATATTTTCACTAGATTTTCAGTTTTGATTCCTTAAAGTTTTGATTTCAATGCTAATTAGTAAACTTCATTTTGTTGTTTTAGGAAACACAATTTCATTCCTACTTTGACTTTTTTAACCGGTTTGGTCTATTGTGGCTTTTGAAGTATGAAGCAAGTGAAATAGCATGCAATTTTGGATGCATCAAAGATTATCTTCTTGAGCAGATTTTGAGATACACTAAATATGATTTGTACTTGGTCGATTGGAAATTTATATTTTTGTTCATATTATTAGATATTTGGTGAAATATTTACTACTGTTTTTTGTATTCTAAAGTTTTTNAAGTTTTGATTTCAATGCTAATTAGTAAACTTCATTTTGTTGTTTTAGGAAACACAATTTCATTCCTACTTTGACTTTTTTAACCGGTTTGGTCTATTGTGGCTTTTGAAGTATGAAGCAAGTGAAATAGCATGCAATTTTGGATGCATCAAAGATTATCTTCTTGAGCAGATTTTGAGATACACTAAATATGATTTGTACTTGGTCGATTGGAAATTTATATTTTTGTTCATATTATTAGATATTTGGTGAAATATTTACTACTGTTTTTTGTATTCTAAAGTTTTTTTCAGTATTATAGACTTCAATTACATATTTGGACTGTGTTTAATCCATTTATAAATGGATTTGGATATCTAATTGGATTTTTAAACGGATTCGGATATTTTGTTCGGATTCGGTTACTTTCGGATATCTAATCGGATCTGGATATATCCGAAACTAATAATTATCTGTCGGATTCGGATATAGCATAGTAAATATCCGCCGGATACAGATTCGAATATTGCCATATCCGTCACGGATATTATCTGTTTAGACCCTTACCTCTATTGGAGAATTTGAGGAGAGGCAACCTTAATAGACCAAACGAATTGCACGAAACACATTTTCAAATTTAAATTATTTCATGGTGTACAAAAATATTTCATTCGAGAAAGACATTAGTAGCCGACCCCACTTAGTGGGATAAAGCCTTTTTATTGTTGGACTTGTTATTGCTGTTGAGTAAGACGTTAGTAACTAGAACAAGTATGGATTCCTCGTTTCTCTCAAGCATACCATGGACTCTCTCTCTCTCTCTCTGTGTGTGTGTGTGTATATATATATATATCGATCAAATTTCGAACAAACAACATAACATTCAAGTGTTTAGACTCAAGGATTTAATTGTATATAGTGGTTAACATGCGAATAGTTGTTTCTATAGTTTTGCATGCATTTATTCCTAAGACATTCGAATGCTTGGTACTCCTTCCGTCCCAAATTATAATGCTTGTTTTTCTTTTCCGTCCGTCCCAAAATGATATGCCTATTTCCTTATTTGGTATGATAATTTATGTGCACTTCCCAAAATACCCTCCATCTAATTACTCCTACCCATTGAATCATCTTCTCTGCATTCTTTCTCGATCTTATCTTTCTCTGCCAGACGTAATCCTCATCGTTCCTCTTTCATCTTCAATGTGTCTCTCCTCTTTCATCACTTTCCTCTCTCACAGATCTGCTCTTTCATCCTTCTCGTCTTCTAACCTTTCATCGTTCTCCTCTGTCCTTTCATCTATTTTTGTTTTTCTGGAATTTGGATCTAGGGGTTTTTTCTTTTCTGTACCTGCGATTCAGATCTAGGGGAGACCTGACTCCTTTCGAGATCTAAGGTTAGTTTTTTCCACATTTCCGTATATTAATCTTATTTCAACAATCTAATTAATGTTTTTCATTTGTTCTTTCTGTAGATCGCAGAGATGGATGGAACAGATGATGAAATGGATTTCTCATCTGCCTTAGTACTCCCAATTCATACAAAATAGAGCTTGAATATGCGTTTGATGAGATTTGTATTGAAAAGTAGATGGAAATGCTGAGGGAAAGGCTTGCCGCCTATTACAAGCCCAAAGGGGATGAGCCTAAAGAGGATGATTGTAAAGCGATAAAGAAGAAAGAGGATGAGGACGATGATGACACCCAATCTGAGTCCTACGAATACAAAGAGGGGGATGATGTTCTGTGGGAATATTTTATCTCAGATCCAACGGGACACTACAAAGACTTCTAGGGGAGTATTCCTCTCTTCTTATGTGGGTGTAATATTTCAATTATGTGTCTCCTTATGTGCTTTAGTCTACTTGCTGACACTAAATGGGAAACTAATGATGACAATTTGCACTGAATATTGCCATATGACTATATGCCCGCGTGCTGTTTGTAATTTGCTTATGGGCAGTATGCTAGAATTTGTGATGTTTCTGTCTGTGTTATGGAACCCTAATATGTGTTCTTAAAGCCACCCACTTCAGATTAGTGTAGGAGGTAACATTGTGTGGCCTCCCACTATATGTAATGTGTTTGGAGGTTTTAAGAGTGAAGAAACATGCATTCATCCCAAAAAAATGTTTGCTTACAATGCTGCCCATACACACTTTTGACAAAAAAACCAGTTAAGTGCATATCATGAGCACATTTCAAAAACAAAAAACAAAATGATGAACAGAATTACACTGCTTCTGATGCACTCCCTTCCCCTTCCCCATGACTAGTTGGGACACCTTGTAAAGCACACACTGGCCTCATACAGTTCTGTGCTTCCCTGAAGTTGGTTTGGCAGTGCACCTTTCCTCTCTAGTCTTGCCTTGCCAATATGCGTCAACTTGTAATTATTTCCTCCTTGTACCTTCCTGCAGCCCTATTCTTACTCCTCCTTTGTGCAGGAAGTTTGAACTGTTAGAGGCCAAATGCCAACTTTCTCATCCCAAATTACCTCTCCTTCAGGACCAAAGAAAGGCCTCCCTAGTGCACATAATGACATAAGTGCATCAGTTTGGGAATGTGAGCTTTACTTTTTGCTGTCCTATGGGGCTCTCTCTCCCTTTCAGTTATATACACTCTCAATGATTGTTTGGACATTTCAAACCATTTTTCATTCACATGAATAGTACAGGAAAAATCTTTAAAAATGGGAGAGTGTGGAAGGGATTCTGGAACAAATTGGTTTAACACAAAAGCTAACCTTTTCAACTTGTTCTCTTCTGTGAGGAAAGGTTTGATAGCATTTGCCCTTGTTGTATGCACCTATGTAGTGTGGATTTGGGTACTTGTATGGCTGCAAACAGTAAGCGTATGTTTGTTCTTCTGTGGAATGGAATGCTCTATATCTGTTTCAAATTTAACTGCACTCTTTTTCTACCAACCATGCCAATCCTGTTGTTACTTGCATCCAATACTGACTCATCCATAAGTTGGTTACGACATGTACCCCAAAGTGAACTAACACTTCTACGGCATATGTTGAAGTCGTTCATGATTTGTTTAATCGTGTTATGTTGAAGTTTCCCATTAGTGGTCTTGTGAAGCAATCAATCTAGGATTACTTTCCTTTCCATATTTGTTAAGTTTCTCCTGGTTTTTTTAATTGGAGGACTAACTTCCTTGAAGTGCAGCACTGGAATTTCCTTGAAGTGGATGAAGACTTGAAAATGACCCAAAGGCTGTTTGGCTGGAGTTGATATAGGGCAATGGAGTTTCCATTTTTTGGAATGTTTTGCACGAAAGTAGTGCAATAAATTTGTAAAGTGCTGCTTTCCTTTTATAGACTAGCAATTTTAGTTTTGGTGTAATGGAGGGAATTTTTCCCTCCAAGACTTTGATTGGATGTGTACTTAAATTAGGTGATGGATTTGGTGAATGTAATGATTTGTTTGAATAGGCGTTATAAAATGGGACGGAAGGAGTACTAAACATTCCAATGCGACATGCCTTTTCATAAAGGATGCGCAAACCGTCCCTTGGACCCCGTTATCGGGGGCTGCTGCCTAGATCCCGCTATGGAATTTTTAATATCGTTGAATGAGTGTGCACTCTATACCTTCGAACTGATTAACAACGTTTATTAAAATTCTCGTCCAATTTAAGTAAATTCAAGTACATAAAATAGTCAATAAGAATTAAGATTCAAGTACATAAGCAACATGGTCAATGTTCTGAAATGTGATTGATAAAAACACGTCAACGAACATTGAATTTGCCACAATGTCTCACCAATGGACATTAGCACTACGTTTGGTTCAAGGAATTTGAAAGAAAATAAAAAAAACAATTTTTCATGTTTGGTTAAAGGAAAAAAGAAAAGCAAAGTGGAAGGAAAGCAAATTTGAAGGCAAAATGTACTAAAGTGGAAGAAAAACAAATTCCTCCTGTTTTGGCGAGAAAAACGAAAGAAAATTATTTTCTTTTTTTTCCTTCAAAATTTCTTGAACTAAACATAATCTAAGGAGACATTGCAATGGACATTTTTAAAGGCCACACACGACATTGGAATCTAGAAGACATTGCAACTATGGTGGTAATTAAAACTACGTTGGGGAGTAGTGGAGCAGATGAGATTGTTGGCAGCAGTAAAAAGGGCATTTTGGTATAATAAAATTAATATATAACAAGAGGCCGGTTCAAATGACATTGAGAACCAATGTGATATAACAAATGGTATTATATGAGGAAGTTGAATATTCTCTCCTCAGTGCATTCTTCCAAATTGATTTTTTTGAGTCAAACTGGATAAATTTTGATCATCAATTGAACTAAGGTCCCGTTTGGTACACGGAATTCAAACTATGGAATTGGAATTGAGGGCTTCAATTCCAATTCTGGTGTTTGGTA